CCCGTTACACCATTTTGTGAATCCCTGTCGCCTTCTTTTTGCAGACCCTCGGAGCCATCCGACTTCATCGAAATAAATCTCGAGAACAGCGCGAAGAAGGAGGCGCCCCCCTTTGAGCCCTTCGCCTGGAAAGAAGAAAATTGATTACACTGGCGCGGCGCACTTAGAGGGGGAGCTTAGACTGGGAGAGCCCTTCCCCACGGCGTAAATTTAACACAGCTTAGCTTGGCTCAGCGCCATGGAGCCAAATTTTGTCAAGCACTAATTAGCCATATTTTATGATCCCCATATTTAAGCGCCTGTCTTATATGCCCTTCCATTTAAAACAGGACGCACCCCCCAATATATATGCGTTGCCAAGAGTGGAAGAATTTCCCCCCCGAAAAATAAACGCGCATCATGCCTATTTAGAAGTGCGAGAAAATTACGTGTTCATCCTGACTTTGTCAACATTTTATAGGTGCCTATATTTATCACAGTTCGTTGTTCCCCTTCCCTGTTTGAGAAGTGCAGTCGATTTTTTTTTTTTTTTTTTTTTTTTTCCATTTAATTAGAAGAAAAAGGCATATATCAAAAGCGCCACATAATTTGGGGAATAAAAATGAAACCCATTTATCAGCCATGTTGCATGATCCCACAAGGGCAATTTTCATGCGACTGCAGCTCTCACATGTGTTGTGAACCGTGTGCAGACGTCTGTATGTGCGTATGGGCATATTGGACACATATATACATAAATTACATACATAATACTCTTGCACACCTTTGTGCAAATGAGCGTGAGACGCACTGATGGACGAGTGCACACGCTCACCACTCCTATGTTGTCGAAAGATATATTTTACAGAAACGTTTTGGCACAACTTGCCGTACCTCCTGCACCCAGCTGCATTTAACAATAACCATTTTTCATTACCATTTCGGGGGGCTAATAATCTGCTCCTATTTTTTGCGCACATTAACTCTCCCCCTTTAAATTTTAAAAAAAGTGACTGAAAAGAAAGTTAAACACATTTTTCTTATGTTCACATTAGCGAATTGAAGAGGTAAAAAATACGGTGCGAATATGTCTACACCCCCTTTTCTCAACTGAGCAGATTCACTTTCTCAAATTTTATAAGCGGAGAGAGACAGCCACTTTACTCTCCTAAAATGATTAATTTTCCTAATTTTTTAAAAAAAAAAGATTAATGTTTTAATTACAGCGAAAGCAAATAAAGCCAAGCGCTTCCACCCTCGCATGCATCCATTTAACAAATGCGTGCAAAAAAATGGAGGCGGCCGCGAGTGGGCACACAAGGATGTACAGGTATGTACATATATAGATATATTTATATATATATGCACAATTCATTTGCAGCGCTATTCATTTGTCCCTCGTGGATCCCTTTGCCCCGCCTGTCCAATGGAAGACCTACATGTCTTTACAGCCTACACTTTTCTCCCTCCTTCGTCTCCAGTTAATCGTCATTAAATTAAAAATGGAAATACCGATACTTCATGTTACACCTGAGTGGTGCTCCATATATCAGCATGAAAAATGAACCGTGTAATCTCTCCATAAAAAGAAATCCCTATCTTCATGCTTCATACACATTTTTGTTGTTCAGCTAAAAAGGCACAAAATAACAAAAAGTTATATCTGTGCTAACATAAAAATTGAGAACAAAAAAGCATTACCAGATGGTGGGTGAAAGCTAAATGGGAAGCCAAAAATAAAAAAAAAAAAAGGAAGGAAACGAAAAGGGGGAAGAGGGAAGCGCGACTTAAACAAATGGGCTCACTGGAAGAAAAAAAAAAGAAAGCCAAACAAAGGTGGACCAAAAAAAAAAAAATCCGCGCTGGGGTATAATAGGCATTTACAACTGGAGCCACTGCCTGCACTTCACGCATCTCCCGTCTCGAACGCGCCCTGGTTATTCATATTCGGATGCGTCTTCGCGTCGGAGCTGAGCCACTCGAAATTCATTATGCCATTCAGGTTGGTACATAAATTGTTCTGGTCGGCGAAATTCAGGTTCATCGCATTTGTTTTTCCATTCTGCGCCTGCTGTGTGTTCATAGCATGTGAAGATCCGGCCGCCGGTGCTACTCCGGCTGCTACTCTCGCTGTTGCTCCTACGGGTGCAACCGCTGTTACGCCCGCCGCGGGGGGTAATAGGGCCTTCCGGTTATCCTTTGGCCCCCTTTTCTTATGCGCAGTTGTTCCATTGGAAGTGGGACTACTAATGGGATTTGAGCCTCCTCCACTAGTGCTACCACCACTGACGTTGTTGTTTGTTGCACCATTACTGTTACTAGTGGTAAAACCCCTCTGCGGAAAGTTATTCGTCTGCTTAGCCATTTGTAATGCATTATGCAAATCTGGAGAAGATGTGCCAAGACCTGACTGGGTCTGAAAATGCAACTGCTTCTGAATGTCTTGTATATTAGTTGGGCCAGAAAAGGCAGATGAAGAATGGGAGGAACTCTCTTTGGGGTTCATTTCGATGTTCGCTGCCAGATGTGTTGCATTCTGTGAAACAGAACTAATCTGGTTATTATTTGTTGACATGCAAAGGAGGACATTGTTGGGGTTGGCCAATTTTAGGGCATTACTATTCGAAGCGCTGTTCGCTGCAAGGTGGCTGCTATCGACGCTGTTGTCATTACTACTGTCCAAGTCATTGATTCGGTTGTTACTCGAGTTAGGGTTACTTCCATTCCATGGTGCCATAAAATTGTACGTGCCTTCATTCGTGGCGTTCGAATTGGCTGCTTTTTCCCGGTTACCCATGTCCATCTTCTTCGCCATATTCGACTCAGGAGAGGCACTACTTGTATCACATAAATCACAAGGGTTGCCGTTTAAATTATTGCAGAGATTATTGTGCGAATGTTTTAGTTGGTTAATCCAAGCGGCGTTATTATCCGTGGAACAGAAATTTAACTCATTCATGTCGTCACTTCGGCCTTCCGATACACCCCCTACTCCACCCCCCACTCCACCACTTTTATTACTACCATCCTTCATGTCGCTGTTTAACCGGTGCATCATGTCGATCAGATGAGGAGAAATATTCCCTTGATATGGGTCAAAATCGTAGTCATAATAGTTTGGCAGGTTTCCCATGTTGGGGAGGAGGTTGCCCATGTTAGGCAAGCTGACCATGTTGGCTACATTTGCCATGCTGGTCATGTTTGGCATGGTGACCCCATTACTTGACTCGTTCCCATTTTCAAACACATCACCCGCAGCATGGTTGACACCTGCGGCATGATTGGGCAGATATAGATGGGGGCCTGGGGAGGCATTGCCGTTCATCGCATTGGCCGCTGTGGTACTGTTGGGGAGGTTACTGTTCCCAATAGGGTTGACCCCGTTACTGTTATTCACACCGTTGACACTCTTGAGGACTCCACTTCCACCGTGGGGTCCTCCGTTGGAACTGCTCGAGGATGTCTTCATGCCACCCTGCCCAGTACCATTGTTCTTCCCACTACTGTGCAGGTATTGATGATGCTTATCCATGTTGGCCATGCCCATGTTCATATTATAATTCTGTCTAAAAAGTGCATTCATTAAAGTTTCCATGTCTTTATTGTGTAATGCTAAATTCTCTTCCAATTTTAGAAGTTCACTGGCAGCATGGCTGCTGCTCAGATTTCTATCAACAAAGGTCACATTTCCACCCCCGGCAGCATTTCCTGCATTTCCCCTTCCCGCACCACCTCCCACTCCTGTCGGCATAATATTGGAATGAAACATCAACTCGTTCAGGTAGAGCATATTATTACAACTGCCGCCGCTGTTACCGCAACCGCTACCACCACCGTTGCTGTTAGTACTACTTGTGCAACTCGTACCGTTTACGTTACCTTTGACACCGCTTAACATGTGCATGTTGCCTCCAAACATGGTGGGAGGAGCTGCTCCCCCATTATGTATATAAATTCCACCTGGGTCTTGCATGCTTTGGCCCATGCCTCCTAAATTTGACGTGTTACTTAATGGGTTGTACGTGTTGATCATACTACTTCTATCATTTGGGGACATCCCTGCGTGGTTGAAATTTCTATTCATGCCTGGCATATAGAATCCGCGATTCAACGACATTAAATGCATCGGGATTGGAGTGCCATTTGGGGCTCTGCTATTTAAGCTGCTTGCCATGTCGTTATTCAACATCCCTGGCATCATCTCTTCATTTAATTGCTTCGTTTTATTCTTCTCTGTTTTATTTTTTGTTGATTTTTTCCTACCATTATTTTCTAATGACTTCATAAATTCTACTGCTGCTAGTCGGGCCCTTTCCTTGTCCATGTTGAAGTGTTTGGGATGAAAAGTCCTACTTCTTCTGGAAGCTCCATCATAGAAAAAAGCTAGCCATGCACACATCCTCTTGTTCCAACTGACCCCTGGGTAGCCGGACGAAGACGTCGAAATCTTTTCTTCCTTTTTTATCACTTTATTTGCAGAAGAGGCTCCTTTGGGCCTTCCTACTTTCTTCTTGATTACTTGGCCCGTTCCAGGCTGGGTGGGAGGGCCCTTTGCTGGGGGGGGTTTCCTTCCATTCGTCACAGGGTTATTTCCCAGGTTGACAGCGCTGCTGTTTCCACCGCTGTTGTTGGCACCACCGTGGTTGCCATTCGAAATGGTATCCACCATGGCACTACTCACCATAGTGTTCACCACAGTGTTCACCAAATTGTTGGCTAGAATGCTGGGGTCATTATTTGGCGAGCTCTTTATCAGCCCCATGTTTGTGCCGCAGCCGTTACTGCCACTCTTGTTGTTGTTACCTTTTCCAAGGACATTACTCATCCGTACGATGTTGCTTCCGTTTATGCCGCTCGTCCTTGCAATGCCCACTGCGTTCACGATGCTGTTGTTCATCGGATTGGCAACGGGGCTGCTCATCGGGCTGCCAACCGCACCGTTCATGTTGCCAGTGAACCCGCTTCCCATAGTGCTGCCCATCGAACACACCACAGCAGGGGATGTTGCCGCGTTCAAACTGCTATTCACTCTGTTACTGCCACCATTCGTCGCTAACTTCCCATCCATCGACATAACGGCCGCTTTAAACGTCTGATCTGCATTCGTAACTTCATCCATTTTTTTTTTCTCCAACGTTGTATATAACACAGCGAGAGAGTTAAGAATTAAATAACCATTACAAAGCGTCCCTTTTTTGTTTTTTTTTTTTTTTTTTATCCCTCTTCAGATAATATCAATTGTTAACAAAAAAGATGCTGTGTGGTCCCTTCTATTGCGCAGGCAAAAAGAAGCAGCAGCGATTGGGCAAAAAAAAAAACAACAATAAGGATGACCATAAAGATGACGACAACGATAACGATAAAAACTGCTGTAGAGGTGTGACAAATACGTGCACGTTCACACGCGTGATGTATGGCGACAGTACGTTTTGCTGTACCTTTGCAAGATGTTACGCGTGGTTAGAAAAAGCTGCACTGCAAACCCATCTAACTATCACACAACACTTTGGTATGCTGCCACATATGCAAATGTACGCGCTGCCATACTTACTACACCGCGGTATGGGGAGCTACATATCCAATCGTACGAGTCCGCAGTTGAGTAAATCAGAAAAGGGCGAAAAAAAAAATAGGCACAGTGCGCGCAATACCCACGGTGTATAAAATGAAGCTTTACCCAAATTGACACGAAAAATCAATAAACAAAGGTGACACATCTACATAAATAAATGACATAAAAAATGGTGCCTCCTTATATTGCATCCCAGCATGCACAGGCGTTAAAGGTGCGTACGCTGTGAGTGCATACTCATAGGAAGCACTTACAAATGTATGTTTGTGCGGATAGATACATAAATAACTACGCATATATGTGGGTGCGCTGACTCTGAAACGCTTCTTCCCACGCATGAGCAACAACTGTCGACATGACAGTATGGTTTACTCAAACGAGAGGGGTATAACCTCGCAGGTGTTGCTCAGAAACGCTCGCTTGTGTTTGTACGTATTCCTGCGCATCTCTAGGTACCTATACTATTTGTGCGTGCATTTGCATATGTGCTTATAAATGGGCTGCGTGAAATGTACATGTATAAAAACGGGACTACACCTCTGAGGGCATTGAATTTAATTAAATAGGCATAAAAAGGGTGGTAAATAAAATAAGGAAAAAATAGGAGAAAATGAGGAAAAACGTGAAAAAATGAAGAAATATGAGGAGAATTTAAAACAAGTACACATTTATTTCGATAAACGGTTAAAAAAAGGGAAGATACACACACTGTTGTGTTACATACCTCCATGGGGAGATGAAAAAAAAAAAAAAACAGCAACACAGGGAGAGCCTCTTCATATTACATATATATTTGCAGGTGCATGTATAAATGTTGGCGTCTCCCCCTTTGTTAAGAATACAGAAGAACAATCTTTACTCATGTTTTAGAGTAATTTTCTTAAAAAAAAAAGTAAAATCAAATGAAACGACATATAATAAAAAAAAAAAGGAAAGTTATTGGATAAAAATGAATAGGCCAAATGGGTAGACAAAATGAAAAGGCAGAGCGCATAGGAAAAATGAATAGTCTACAGTAAACAAGCTACAGTAAAAAGGCTTAAGTAAATAGGCTACAATAAATAGGCTGCAGTAAATAGGCAGAAATTAATAGGCAAAAATTAATAGGATAAAATGAAAAGGCTAAAATATACTACAATAAATAGGATAAAGTTAAACCTAATTGAATTAAAAACAGAGACTCTTCAATTCATATACTCAATTTCGCGTGTAGGTGATTGTAAAAGCACAAATTACGCAAAAGGGAAGGCGCCCTGGAGTTGTAAGCGATGTACACACCCATATGTACACACGTACATATGTGTCAAACGCGGAGACGCAAATTTGGAGATAGCCTCGAAGTATCGTTACATAAACACACGCACATGTAGGGCTATATAAATTTCCGAGAAAAATAGCATAAAGCACAATTTGGTTGCATAAATTTTCAAAAAGGGTTACAAACGATTGTTTTGACAAGTACAGCGTGTTTAAACAAGAAAAAAAAAAAAAATATATTTTGTCTAAAAATAAAGCATAAATGCACAGACAATAATAGCCACATGTGCGCAGGCATATAGGTATGTATAGTGACACTGTGGCGCGACCTTATATGGCGCCAGCATTGGTCCCACACATATTCATATAATACGTATATAAGGATATATACATATAGGCACATCAACAAATATACGTAGGATGTGAGCAGACTATTACGCGCAGTGCTCATATATGTGAATGTAGGATCACATCCAAAAAAATCAAGCCACCTTACATGCCAGTGTGGTTGCAATTTTCTCTGTTGCAAATTACATAGATTTGCTTTTCTTTTTCATTCATCTGCTTTTTTTTCTTTTTAATATGCTCACTGGTCGCAACACATATATATACATACATATACATATGCACATGCATACATAACATACGTACATATGTACACAAAAAAATTAACACGCCATGGTGATTTTCTTCATTTCCTCTTTCCCCAAATGGTTCGTAAAAATTTACATTCAAAAAGGGAAAAAAAATGGCATATGTCGTGTGGCGAAAGGGGCTCAAAATGTACGTTCACGCGTGGAAACGTTTTTTAAAAGATGAAAAAATGGGCCAAAAAAAAGGGCAAAAAAGGGGGAAAAAATGAGAAAGAATGAGAACACGTATAAATATGCAGAAACAAAATGTAAATGAATATGCGCAAAAATATGCAGATAAATATATCTGAATATACTTCGAAATATGCAAAAAATGAAAACAACTTCTGCGCGTACAACTCGGGCACACGCACTTACGTACCTACATACGAATATACACAACTGCGTTCCACATACGTCTATGTTCCAAGTACACTACGTACTTTTTCATCTTAGATATACTTGCACTGGTCCTTTATTTGCCCCTTGTGCGCTCAAAAAAGGGGAAGTAGAAAAGGCAAAGGCGATGTGTGCTACTGCACGAGTCTCGCTCCCGATAAATTACACGTGGTGAATGGGAGTTTTATTGCCTCTCCCCGTGGGGGGATATATGCTGAATATAAGTATGGGTACGTAAGGTGGATGTGCGATTACACATGTGCATTCTGATGTAAGCATAGAATCAGACAGGTGTACTCTATGTGCGTATTGTATACGAAAATGCACAGGACCTGTGGGTCTATAAAAAAAGTTATTCAACCCCTACAAGTGCCTACGCGGTGTACGCGTCACTTAAATGGACGTGCGCATGGACTATTTGCCATGTACGCACGCACACATGTGTGCATATATGTATGTGATGTATATATGCATGTATATATGTATGTACATAGGTGGATGAACGTAAAAAAAGTCTTGCACTTAAATATATATATGTATGGTACCCCGCGCGTGCATTTACGTAATATACATACGTACAAATATGCACATAGGGACATATGCTACAATGCGTACAATATATACCAGACGTACAATACGTACAAGACGTACAATACGTGTAATACGTACAATACGCACGATATGCATACCGCGCTTTGCGGACGCGTGTGTCACTCGAGAACGAATTGACACGCGTGCGGACTACCTACATGTGCATGTAGCATACCAGTACATGTATATGAATTATTTGAACAAGAAAAAAAATAAATGCGCGACTCATATACACGCGAGGCGCGTATGTGCTTGGCGTGACATCAGAAGTGGTGAGTGTATATATACGTGTCATACGCAGGGGGAAACAGATTAATATGTGTGCGTGGATGTATATAAAGTGTATAGGAAATTGCGAGCATGTACAGATGGGTACGAAAAAGTACATGTATATATAAAGGTTATATATACATGTACGTATAGAAGGACTTATATACATCCACATGCAGATATATATACGTACATGTAAATACGTACCTATATATACATGACTGCGAGGCGTATGTGCGTACATAAATATATATGCATATATACATGTATACATATATACAGCCTCTTCCCTCAACACGTAAAAGTAACACTTAAATGACACTTTGACGCATTTAAATCGCTTGTTGTTGTTTGAAATTAAAAAAATCATGCATTCCAAAACAGCATGTAATTAATTTGCGCAACAAAAATATATATTTTTCAGATTCACTTGATTAAAAAAATGCATCACCAATTTTATTTCATCCCAATATATATATGTATGTAACAAATGGGGGTATATATAAATACGCAATAAATATATAATATATATATGTATATATATACATACGCGATATGCGCATATACGTGTACAGTATATGTTCATATATAACTCAATTATTTTTCTCTCTACAAATGAATTTTTCGTCGAATTGAGTTCCTCGTGATTTTACATATAAAGGGGGAAGTGAGTGTATATGCAAAAATATATATAAATGCGTAGGCAAACATATATAATATATATGTAAATGAGTTATAAATGCATATACTGTTTTCACAGTGCCATCACATCACATAACTTTTCCTCAGCCCCTACGCACTTCGTGGCCGCGCAACAAAATTTTCAGGTATAATTTGTACGTTATATAAGTACTTATATGTACATGTATATATTATATACATACAATATATATACATATATATGTACCTATTTTTTGCGCGCTTGCACTTGGTATATATACATACTTACTGGTTGACATTTCGCCCACGTATACTCTGCAGCGCGTTTATGTATATATACATACGTGTATTTATTATGCGCCTTCTGCCTGGTATCTTCTGCGTGGCACCTGCTTGTGCCTTTTCTTTTTAGTAGAATCTGCCCTTATTAAGCTTTTCGCATAAGCGCTCTTCTGCATGCACGGCTTGGCTAATTTTTTTCAAGCTGCATGCAGAGCCTTTATTCAAAAGGAGATGCCGCCCGGGGCCTATACAAAACTGTATATATTATACGTATGTATATATATATATGCTCGCAACTTATATATATTATATGTACATTTCTGCTACAGAGTGTGCCTCGCAATTGATAATTTTTCCCCCAAATGCATAATCACGGGAAAAAATAAAAAACGCTTCGTTTAAAGCAGCTCAGAGACAACTGCAGCAAAGTTGGTCCAAATCGTTATGCCAGCTGTGCGTTGCACTATTACAGCTCGACGTGTTCACGAGCACGTATACAAATAGGTACGTATAAGCATATGAGCAGGTCTCGTATACATTTACTCACGCGTAAAATGCACATCGGCCAGTCACGTGCCTTATCATGTTGGTTTACACTCTTAAGCATGTAATTACGCGAACATCCAAGAAACAGCAAATGGGGCTCTCCTTCTCGACCAAGCTATTGCGATGCAAAAACCTTTTTAAAAATTTGCTAAAAAAAAAAATTCACAAAATTTGCATTAAGTTATACATGCAGATGGGCCAAAAATAAAAGCTACTACGTAGACATAGAACGTAGAAAAAATTAACAGAAAAAAAAAGAAATAATCACATCGCAAAAGAAACACTGACGTAAAGGTGTTACATTGCGGTGCACGATTTTTACAAAATGTGCATAGCCGGTTGACAAAAGTACTTTTGCCGTTGCTAAGCCTATAACGAGTGTATACGTAAGACGCGTAGGACTTAAAAAGAGAGAGAAAAAAAAAATTTAAATATAGGCAAATGACCACGTTACATGTCCATAAAATTGTCTACACATGAAAGTGTACTGGGCTGGTATTATTAATCATAATGCGCATTCCCTGATGGGAAACATAACGTTAAATAACGTCTTAATAGGTTGCTATTCACACGGTAAAGTGAAAAAGAAAACATTCTTGCTTTCGCATAAAAGGGTAATAAACTTAACGGAGAAAAAAGATGCACAACGAGCATGTTACATGAGAATAAAATGCAAAAGGAAGATACAAAAAAAAATAAAGGAGCTTCCTAAAATTGTGTAAAATTAGTGGTCATGTTTTCGTCCGCACAACAGACATACAGATGCGGGGATTGCGGAAAAAAAAAAAAAGAAAAAAATTACACCACGCGGACGGTTATGTATACATATATACACACAACACGAATTAGAAGCCACTCCTTAGTGCATCGCTTTCGTGAGTCCTACCTTTTTTCCCTTTCTTCAGGGTTTTTTTTTTTTTTTTGATAAAGAATTTAGTCCCCACATGTGCATAAATTATGTGTACATAGAACAAGCTTACACTAGAACGTGCGCATTTTTAGCGAACGAAATGGAACTTACTGTTCCGTTTTGAATCGAGAAATGCAAATATATACATGTAAGGCAGGAAAATTATAACATTTGTCAAATGGCACAACTGAATGATACTACGCGGAAGTACATTTGTGCGTACTACGTAGGTAAGGAGTTTTTTTTTTATGTACTATGTGAATCCCACTTGCTGCGCGCATTTCACGTAAAGGCAACTCGCTTTCGCAATGGTGATTATTCGTCTTGGGGGCCTCTTACATTTTAACGCATTCTAGTTTGTTCTATTTATGCATGTCTGTACACACGTGCGTGTACATTCTTCGAGAATTGACAAGTCGTACATATGCACGCGTGTTAATGAAACTTCTTTCTTTATTTTGCGAAAATAAAAAAAGTGCATGAACTTGTGCAATACATAAACATCAAATTATTTTTTTGTAAATCCCCCAAATTGAGACACATCATAAAAATTGTTTCCCAAACGGGTAGACATAGATACGTGCGCAGCAGTTGTACATCCGCAGGTGCGCATACGTTTTGGCGCAAAAAAGTATGCACACTTATTGGTAACGAAAAAAAGAAAAAAAAATGGTAATCTATTCTGAGTGTTATCTTTAAAGGAACATGTTAAAATGACGCTTTAAAGTAGCACCAAAACGGGGGCAAGGGATAAAAGTAAACAAATGAGCAAACGAAGAAGTATAAAAAAAAAAATTAAGGCTCAAAACCAACCAGTGACAATTGAAACGCACAAAAGGTAATCAAATGGAACTCACGGAAGGGGATTAAAGACAAGGAGAAAGGTGCAACGTTCGCACATCTACAAACGTGGCCATGTCCCCATGAACACATGAAAAGGGAAAGAAAATGCTCACTCACGCGTCTACACTTACACAATGAACATTTGCATCTTCTTGGGGATAGCACTATTTCGATAAAGCAGAATGCAACGAAGGTTCCCCAAAATGAAATCTCTGCAAGTGTAAAAAAAAAAAAAAATTTCGCGGAGTAAACTTTTCACCTGACCAGCAAGGTAATAATAAACGAAAAAAAAAAAAAAAAAAAAAAGTTCATTTAGCTGTTACAAATAGCTAATTTCTCAGAATGGAATTAGTTACACATAACTAGTTAGGTTGTCAACAAAAATTCACGCATTAGTGGGTGAAATGGAAAGAAAAATAAGGCATCGTGTTGTTCATTTTCCGTGTAAAATAAACACACTCCAGGGTTTTTAATTACGACGTGCTCTTCATCAATGACAAGAGAATATATGCTATGTTTATCGCCGATTTTTCACGCCACTAAAAAAAGGGGGAAAAAAAAAGAATCCAGATAAACAAGCAAATTCCAGCCGAGCAAAAGGAAGCAAAGTGGCGTCACCCCCTCACGTAAAAATGCAGAGCCTTCATTTATAATATTCAAAATTTACAAGCTGTTTCTGGAATAAGCGGAATCAAGGAAAAAAGAAAAAAGGCATAACAGAAATGTATATATATGTATATATTTTTTTTTCTTTTTTCTTATGGTGAAAGGGGCCTTTTTTTTAAATTCCTTGTAACGATAGTTCCACTTTGAATTTAAGAAAAAGTATAACATTCTGAAAAAAAGTAACTGTAATTTTAAAAAAAAAAAAAAGTGGAAATCCCCCCATTACACATCATGTGGCATGGTACGTACTTGTACACATTTGACTAAACCAAGTCATTACAAGGAATTGGTAGTAGCTAATTGGATTTTCGTACTAATACAAATACACATGGCCGAGTATAACTATTTTCTTTTTTTGTTTACTTACCTCCATTTAATAAATTTAAAAATTGGCTTCTTTTGTATTGAGGGAGGGCTCCACTTTCCGTTTTCACTGCTCTTTTCCCTTTTTTTTTTTTTTTTACACCGCATAAGTGGTACAATCACCATTAGTACATTTGAAATGGAGAAATCGGAAAATCGTAATTCTTAAGTTTCTTTTTTAGAAGAAACAAGGAAAAAGAAATGTCCCGTGTATAAGTAAACATATGTACGTTAATGAACATCTCCCCCGATTCCCCCCCACTCGAAAGGGTGATCTTAAAAATAAGCCAAATTCGTTGTTCATTTCGTCTTGTAGAATTTTTAGCCATCTTCCAGTGGTGATGTCTCACCTGGGTAATCCTCGCGAGAGGCAAATCTTGAAAAAGATGCTCTGTACACCTATTCTCATGCCATTGGCAGAACGTTTTGCCTATGTAGAAGAGTACACAGTGTTAATGTGGAGAAGGAATTTTTTTTTTCTTTTTTCCCATTCTTAGTGGTTCCATTTTTAACACGAAAAAGGCATGTATAAACACGCTGACCTCGTTTTTTCTTCCGCAAGGGGAAAAAAAAGTGAAAAAAATATGTATACACAATGTAGGAGTATGTACGTGGGGACACTTCACCAATGGGAAAAAGGAAAAAAAACGATTGACTCCACTATGGTTAGGGAGGTGTCTATGTGACGCTTCTGAAGTGTGTATATACACCGCGTCTATTCTGTTCTGTAAAAACGCATTGGGGAAAAATGACTCCATTTGTGCCTTTGGGTTGCCTCCATTGTGGAAAGGGGCGGCCATAAAACGGCAAGTGAAATCGCCAGAAAGGTCATGCTGAAAATATCTCTATCAAAGGAGCACCATCTGAAAGGCATAACTACTCGGGTTGCACATTTTGAGTCATTTTCTCAATTGACGCATTCTTCTCTCCACACAGGTGCGACGCATAAGACGCTAAATGCAAATATCCCACATAAATACGGGGGTAGTGGAAACAAATATATGATAATAATCGAAAAGGATTTAAAAAAAAAAAAAAAAAAATCCCAAAGGAAAGAAAAAAGCAAACTGCTAATCGAACGAGTAAAAAATGATGAAATCAATCGTGCCGCTGATTCTCCTTTTGGCGCTCGCCTTCACCCAAACGGTTAGACTCCAAAGAACGAACGATGTGCCTCTGATCAATTACCAAATGGTCCCTTCGCAAAGGTAGTGCTTAACCATGAAGGAAAATAAACCTTATTTCTCAAAATGAAAAAAACGCTACGCACATTGTGAACTCAAAAGGTAGCTAGACAACTCGAGTCACTAGTGGCCTTTCTTGTGTATCAGATGGAAGGTGTCCGCAAAGGAGTTGATGAAGTTGAAGGAAAAATTGAAGATCTTTGTGGCGGCAGGTTAATTAAATAGTGGAAAAAAAAAGAGACCACTCAAGGAATAACTGCAAAAGTGTCGCCAAAGTGGAACACCTCCACGAGGGTGCCAAGCATGCGTAAAAGTGGCCCACCAGCAGCACACCAGAAGCATACACCTGACCCCTTCCTTTGACTTTCAAGAAATTCAGAAAGAAGGATCAACTCTGCTTCGAAAATATTACAAGGAATTTTACACATCAGGTACTTCTTCTGCGCCCCCTTGGGAGCATTTTTTTTTTTAACCAAAACGATGTTGCATAAGTAATGAATTTTTTTTTTTTTTTTGAGCAGATGAACAAGCGGTAAAAACCAAATGGACACATTTCAATTTTGCAATATGATGAGAAAACAGTCCTATGTTTTGTGCTTCCCGCGAGTTCAGATTTTTCCCCCTTGAGGGATGCCACCGCTAATTAGCAGGATACTACCTGCGTCGATACGTTGTTCTGTGTAGTTACTATTTTCATTATGGGGACTCATTTCCCCTTTTCCTTTTGCACTTAGGATGAAGCCGAATCTGGGGAGTCTCCCTCGGAAAAGGAAACTGAGGGTACGCCTCCGTCTGAAAGGGCAGAAATGGGTATAAGAACGAGTTCCCAGCGTGCATATACAATTGTGTGTCACATATCATTCCGCAGATTGCGTCAGATATGGCACGCCTTTTCTTTCCAGGCAACCAGGACGAAGCGAGTAACACCTTCGACGTAAACGGCCCTATACAATTAATTTAAATTTTATGGAAAGGAACGAAAAAAAAAAAAGGGTCAATCTGTTTTGTCACTGTTGTGGTTTTTGCGTGCATATATATATGCAGCGCTTGTTTTGTTTAATTTGTTTTATTTTATTATTATTTTTTCTTTTTTTCACATTTTGACACGTTAACGTGTTAACATTGTGACATGTGCAAACGTTTTCACATACTGACGTTTCTGGGCACTCACTTGTGCCGTTGTGCCTAACTATATTTGCAAAAATGGAAAATTTGCGGAGCCGGCCTTTTTCCCCATGCAACATGGGCAACGTAATTACTCGCGCGCAGAATCCTGTGTGCACATAATCCAGGAGCGGCCTGCAACACGTAAAATCGTATAAAAAATTCGTACACTGTAAAAATATTGTGCGAGTGGCCTCCAGGGGTGTATATGTGTATATACCCATGGATGCCCTCCACCGAAGGTTTAAACAGCAAAAAAAAAAGGCCATCACACACATGTTATGCTGCAAATGTAGGAAAAAGGCTGCAGCCTCCACATCCCCTTTCAATAGACCTGCTTCTCCAATTTTTGTATATCCTTTTCCAGCTGGTTTAGTTGTTTTTCATAATTTTCCTTTTTTTTTAATTTGCGAATTGAGTTGATGTCGACCACATGGGATATTTTCAGGTACTCCTTATTAATTTCGTTGTATTTATTTTTCAGTTGTGTTAGCAGGACCTCCTTTTTCGCTTCCAAATCTGCGGCCACTTTTTTTTCATCAATAATGTCTTGCTTTTTCAAATTTTCTTTTTCTTTTAATTCGTTTTTGATGTCAATGAGGTATGGACTCACTTTCCCATAATCTTCCTTTGTCAATGGATTTTCACTCAACAGGATTTTTCCCTGTTTTTTTTTTGCTGGTACAGGTTTGGAATGAATAACCTCCACAGCATTATCATATATGTAATCCACGTCGGCCGTTATGTTCATGAGTGGCAAATCATTTCTGTCTGGCAATGGGTCTTTAAATTTTTTTTTTTTTATTTTTACTGTTAATAAAGTTGGGTTGACTTTTTTTATTTCATTTAATGAAGGTATCATTTGATTTTTTTCTCCTTTTTTTAGGAGTTTTTTTTCATAGCTTATTTGTAATTCTTTCACCTTCTTCTGTTTCTCGATTTTTTTGATGGACTCTCCAGACACGTTTGATATGTTGTATCGTTTTCCCCTCAAATTGAAGGTCGAATAACTTGGCATTACATTGGGGTCATGTATCGATTTGTAAAGAATTTTTTTTAACTTTTTTTCATCACATTTTTTTATTATTTCATATGCGTTGTCATCTTTCAGCTTCATGCTTTCGAATAGCTTTTCGTAGTTTTCCATTTTGGTTTCTTTTTTTTTTTTTACAGAGGGGGAGAAAAAAAAAAAGGTGGCAGTGTTTACACGGTGAACGAGGATCAGCAATCAATCTGTTCGCTTTGGGCCTGTTGCGCAGATGCGTATGTTAGGAAGAAGACATGCTTTTTTTTTGTTTTTTTCTTTTCTCCCCCTTTCTACGTGTTTCTTATGCAAGTATTTTATCCTTATTATCTACTTTGGGTAATCATGTTTTGCAGCTCACGAGTTGGATTCTCCAATTTATAGCAATTATGCGCGGTGGACTCTTCCTCTTATGCAGTGTGTAATCCCTGGCGCAAAAAGGTGGGTGGCAAATTGCGAGAAAATCCGCGAGGCAGCCTGGGGGGGCAGTCAAATGGGACTTGGCGAAGCGGAAAAGGAACTCACGCCAGCTTTGCAATTTGCATTCACATAACTTTTGGGTCAATATTGTGGAGAAGTATTTCCTTATTGAGGGGAATTTTTTTTTTTTTTCTCGCAACATATTTATGTGTACACGTGTAGCCCCTTAATTGTACAAATAAGAGTGTCTACAAATGCGAAAAAAAACGCCGCCCCTGGAGAGATGGGGAAATTATTTCCCTCCCGTTGACTCGAACTTTTTAGGACAGAGAAAAAAAAGGGGTATAGTGTGAAAGTCTACGCGAAAGGATCCATCGTATGAGCAAAGAAAAATTATTATAAATATGCTTCCATACGATTTAGGCGTTTTATGCGTACTAGCGCGCGATTGTGTAAGCATCATTGCACGCGCACTTCTTCCCTATATTTTGATGCCTCGGCGCGTGTGGGGAACTAACCAAGTGATGTCTGCCCATTCTTGCGTAGCCCCATTGAAGTGAATACCTACGCAAAGTTATTTTGTCCTTCCCCTCTTTTCCGCTAAAAGTGGACATGTTCGAATTGGCTTTATATCTCCCTTCCCCTCCGCTTTGCATAAGGATACGAGAAAACAAATTGGCAAAAAATGAACGGGGATGCACGTTATTAAGCAAATCGCTTCTTCCCCCCCAACTTCGGATGGAGACATGTAAAAAATTAATAACTCCGCTAACGGTCCTGGCATTGAACGAACATTATTGATTAACCGAATGGGACCAAGTGCCCACACGAGTTTATTTTTCCAGGTTAGCAATTCCTAAATGAAAACCTCACTATGGAAATATTACTACAAAATTGGTGTTCCCCGCAGCTCGTACTACTTTGTGTACAGCGCCGTTCTACGAATTACCCCATTTTGAATGTTAATTCCTGGCCCATGCACAGAACATGTTCTTATACCATCACGTACAATTTTGCCTGCAGGGGTTTCAACTCTGTGGAACACGCGAATAGCTTCGCTTTTTACCAATATGAGGTAAAAAAAAAAAAAAAAACAGAAAAAGGGAAAAAAAAACATTCCTTCGTTCCTCTATATTAAAATAAACTGCGAGATCCTCTATTTTCTTAAAAAAAAAGTCGCTCTTTAAAATTGCGCGAAAAGAAAAATTAGCTAGCGCCTTGCCTATTCTCATAATATTTTCCTTTGTTCTAAGAAAAAGAAAAAAAAAAAAAATTGACCTGGTCAGGCAGAATGTTCAAACTGTTACGAAAAAAGCTAGCCGTATTTAGTAGATAGTTAAATTAAAACAGTAAATCAGATTTGGCGAAAGCTTCTACTAAGTATGTAACGCGCGTATGCTTTTGCATATATGCGCATGGAGTATTTGTTACATTTGGGAGAACTGGAAGGGCAACTGTTGAACTGCGCAGGGTAGGCTTATAGCTGCCACCACACAATAAAGAAGTTAAAACGAGAGAGCATCTTTTTTGAAAAGACCCTATACATTTCTCCGTTCATTCTCTTCACCAATTCTTTGCTGAAGGAAAGGCCACAAAACAAATTACTTTTTCTTTCTCTCCTCTTTGAAGATTCGCTGAATCAATTTTAACAAAATGAGGCCCCTTAATGATAACGAGACGATGCTGGTGTTTAAGAAGCTGTCGAAATAGTAATACGCGCAAGTGCCCAGTATATGCCTTCGTGCCGGCGAGCCACCATATCTACATTCCTGTGCAGATGACAAATTCGCTATAAAGCTCCCACCACCACCACCTCTGAAGCGCTCACCAGGCAATGGCAAAGCGCAGGTAGTGTACATACAAACGTATAACAATTTTTGCCATTATTTCCATTTTTTCAGTGTCGGAAATAACCTTTTGAGCATGCTGTCCTACAACAACGAGGAGTACGTATTAAGGCTCCACAGGTCAAGCGTGTACATCGTTCGGTAGGTTTCAATTAAACGGAAGGGTGAAAAATATGTACAGGAAATGTTCATGAGCTCGCGTAACTCTGCATTATCCCCTCAATCTGGTTGTGAGACGCGCTGCACACATACCAGAGCGATGATCGACAACCCATTCACTGCCCCTTTTTTAACTGAACCCCCTTTTTAGAGCTGAAGTGGCCAAACAAGCCGAAGCAATAATAAATAAAAATTCATTGGTGAGATAAGTGAAGCGCTGCGCAGAGAGATTAATGATATAAAGATAACTGCGTATGCAAAGTTATTGCATCGTATATGTCATTCAGGAGTGTATGATATTCCACCAATCTTTGGTTCCCTTTTTCAACGTGTCCTTTTTTTTTTTTTTTTTCTCCTTTCAGATATCCCTCGGAATATGCCTCGGAAAATTCACCAAAGCGAATAACTTTTTCATAAAAATTACATCCCTGTCATTTTTAAATGAATTTTGTATTCACAAAATTTGGCTGAAGGAATCTGGGGAGAAGAACTTCCTATTTGGCAATAACGTATTGAAGGTGGGTTACTCGCGGGGTTTTCCCCCATTTGCATAACTTGTTTACGCTAATGTAGAATATATACTTCGATGTGGACGTATGCACCGGAAGAAGTGGCCTTCGCAGGGGTGTATACATCAGAGACAACACACAACGCACACGCAATTCTCGCGTTTCCTTCCACACAGAGTCATCTTCTAAAAGTCAGCGACAATATAAAAAAGGGAGACGGAATTATGGTCCTCTCGATGAACGACAGCCCCATAGGCTTTGGCATATCCATAAGGAACACCCAGGACATCAAAATTTTAAATGTTACTGATATTGTTCTGATTCACCAGGTATTTACTTCCGCCCCTTTACGCGGCAGCTGCAACAGTTTGGACCGCAGTAATGGGTCAAAATATGTTACGAATATTGCGTGGACATACGCGGAATGTTCTGTGCGCACCCGCGGGGTTAGCACACTCATTAGCCCACTTAATTTTTCGTAACGATACCAACATATGTAACTTTTCCCGTATGCGCTGTTTCTTCCTTGCAGGGGGACGTGGGTGAGTACTTAAGGAGCGAAGCAACCATATAAGGAGGAGCACCCCAAGACGACCAATTTATTTGCATCCTTTCCTCGCTTACAATTTTGGCACACCGGGTGTGATACACAGGAGGGGATAATACGTAAAAGAAGCACCATGATGGTATGCCCACGATATGCACGATATGCAAAATTTGTTTATTTTATCTTTTTTGTTTTTGTCAGCTTGATAAGTTTTTTTTTCCCCCCTCTCGTAAGCCCTTCCGTCTGTGTTTGCATTTGTCCACCCCCTTTTTTTTCTTTTTTTTTACGTCATTTGATTTTTGCATACCCCTTTTGAAGAATAAAACATTTTTGAAACTTCCATTTTGACTATGTACCAATAAAATTGGTATCCTATACGGAGTTTTTTAAATTTGCAAAGGTACATAATGAATAAACTTTCTACGCATGTGGAGTTTTTCACTTGCGCTGATTCGACAACTGCTGTGCCCAGGGGGAAGGGAACATCATCCCTGCGGTTGGCTGACTCAACGGGTTGCCTTCTTTCTTTTTTTTTTTCCGGCATGGTATACAAGCGAATGGTGGAGAACGGGTTGGAAAAATGGGAAGCTAAGCTCTGCCAAAGAGGGGAGGACAAAATAACTAAAATGTACTCATAAAAAAAAAGAGAAAGAAAATATATTTAACGTTATGTCATCCCCATGCGGGTGAACCCATGAGCATTTCTTTTTTTTCCCAAGGCGCTGCAGAAATTACAACGCGGTGCGGCACCTCATACCGGTGGAGTGCCTTTTGTTAAAAGAAATGGAAATAAAAAAAAAAAAAAAAAAATACGCTTTCGAGAAAATGAAAATGCAAAGTTGGCGAATATCCTTTTTGCCGCTGTTTCCTTCATGCGACAGTGCGCGCAGGGGCGTGTAAATGAGGAAAATAAGCAATTAAAATAAAATAAGAACAAATCGGAATTTTTTTTTTTTTTTTTTTGCCATTGCGCGAAAAGCATGTACAACTGCCTTATGTACATGTAAAGGACAAGCACGCCAACGGCAATTTTGCTACACAAGAGTTAGTCGGCTTGGAAGTTGCCCCATCCCTGAAGTGGCAATACAACAGCAAAGGTGAAGAGAGCTCACAAAAGGGAAAGCTTCGAAGGGTTCATATTTTCCCCATAAATGTACCACTCTTACCTCCCTGTGAAGGCGTAAACTCCGTGCCTGATCCATACGGACATTCCATTCCTAGAAGGAAAAGGACCATCAAAATGGGAAAGAAGGCTAGTGCAGAGACCCAGAAAAAAAAAAAACACAACGAGATCGAGCAGTATGAGGCAAGGACATTCAACAGAGAAATCAGCAACAAAATTAAGAGGAAAAGTTTCAACCTACCAAGAGTTAAAAGAAATGGAATAATCACATATGACGATGAGGATGATGATGGTGATTACGATGGGGCGGGAACAGGAGCAGCAGCAGCAGCAGGAGGACGGCGAAGTGGTCTCCATAGCGGTAACCCCCGCGAGGAAGAGAATACAAAGAAGAGTAAAAAATTCCGAAAGGGACAGCTGAAGCTGAGGAAAATGCTAGAAAAAATAAAGCACAAGAAAAAGAAAATTAAAAGTCCGCTGGAGGAAGAAATGATCAAAATTGAAAACAAAATGAAACACTGCCATGATATCAGAAATGAAGTGGCTGCCATTTCGAATAGCATCATTGCGAATCAGGACGTGCACATTGAGAAGTTCGGCTGTCTCTTCTTCATCTTTAGGGAGAGCTTGACGAAAGGGAGGGAGCTCCAAAGGAGGGCCACGAAACCAGACAGAGTCACCAAACCGAACACCGACGAATCAGAGAAGAAAGTCAGGTACTACCAAATGGCCAACGCTCTAAGCTGCATATCGATATGCACAGTACTCAAGTGCGTAACTCCGTCATACAAAATTATCGGGGATGAAATCATCCCAGGGAGAAAAAAAAGTACCAGCCAAGGCAACGGAGAAGGTGCCTCTTCAAAAGGCGAAACAAACCAGCGTGTTAACTCCAATGCAGTGAGAGGCGCCCCGAAGAACCTCTCGAAGCTGATGCTAAGTGTAAACAAGATAGAGCAAGAAATAGTACACTACTTTAAGCAGTTCTGCAGTATCCTAAAAGAAAACATTCGCCACAATGTAACTCTCTTTGTGAATCTGCTATGCGAAATAGTTACGGTCAATTTGCACCTCTCCAGAAGTGAAAGACTTTTTGAGTACCTCACGTTGTATGCCAATATACAGACGTACTCGAAGAAGAAACACAACGCCGTGGCGGCGAGGAGAGGGGAACCCACCAAAAAAGGGAAGACCAATGTGCACCTCCTCTGTATGAAGTGTCTCAACACGATTAAAGAAATTATAGACAATGACTCCAACTTATCCTTTACCATAACATTAGTGGATTATTTTACCAACTGCCTTTTTAAGAAGGAACAAAATGTGAGTCCAAATCTGTTGAGGATTTTTTCTCAGATCAGCATCACTGAGAAGAAGATCAGCGCGAAATTATTTTCTGGCGAGGACATAAGCGATGGTGGGTTGGCAGAACGGAAGGATGATGCACTCAGGACGAAGACGAACGTTTGTGGAGAGTTAAAGATTATCGAGAAAAACACGGAAAGGATACTGGACCAGCTCTTTTTAGTTTATTTGTGTGTGTTAAGGAATCACAAGAAGCACTCCGTCGCCTTGGTGAAGAACGTCCTTCAGGGTATAGCTCATTATGCGCTTTACGTGAATAAGCTCCTGATGGATGACGTGTTTGCAGAGGTGAAGGCGCTGGCCTTGGGGGGGGAAGCAATTTCAGGCGGGGTTGTCCCCGTTGGAAGTGTTGTCCCTGTTAGAAGTGCTGTCACTGCTGACCTCGCTGACCGCTCTGACGACGCGGTACCGCCGCCCCTGAGACTGACCTCCGCGCGCATTTTTCTCGAAATGATAAACAAAGTGACGGACGACAGCTTTTACATCGACTGCTCTTGGGTGGCAAATACGCTGCTGTTTCTCCTGGACCTATCCCTCCCCTATTTCCACCTGGGCTCAGCCCACTTCCTCTTCGGGGATCAAAATTTCCTGTACAGCAGCTTCGCCGATTTTGGGAAGTGCAACCAGAGTGATCCCCACTCAGGGGGAAGACAAAACGGTACAGACATCCACAACACAGGAGGGAGTAACAGTAGAGGGGCCGCCCAGCCAGGGGAAGTACAAATGGGATCCAACCACACAACTGAGAAACATAACTTCTGCGGAGAGCTGCTGTACTGCATTGAGTTGCTCCTAAAAACAAGAAGCTTTACGGGTACCTATAACACATTCAAGTCAAACAACAATCAGCTGCTAGCCCGCATCGTCTTCAAATTGCACAACGTTGCGGTGCACTCAGACTATATAATATCCTTTTGTATTCTAAGCCTTATCCAGAACATTTTGGAAAAGTACCCACTCGTCAAATCTATTGTAGAGAAGGACGGAATTGTGATCTCATCTTTGAATGATAATTTGTCAATTTTTTTTTCTAACTTGCTGTTTCATTCGTCATTTTCTGAGGACGTATCCTCCTTAGCGTTGCACATCTCTATGTATGACTCGGACGAGAGTAGGAAGGGCATCTTTAGTAGCTACATAAATCAGCACCTGCGGGGGAAGGACCCAAATAAAATGATCCATTTTAACCTCTCCTTGAGTGAACCCAGAATTGTCGACGCGGACACATTTATGAAGTACTCCCCGGATGAATGGGGTAGTGAATTTACCCGAAGTAGCCTTAAAAAGTTGCCTCCCGCCCTCCGTGATGTGACAACTGATATAAGTTTTAAGAAGGCATCTTTTGGGAAACCTCGCCTTGAGAAGGCTGCCCTCAAATTCACCGCCACAAATGGGAACCTATCCGTTAAGCACGTCCCGTCACATATGCTCACCGCGATGGATTTTGTCGAAATTGTTTTTTCCCCATACGAGGAGTTTATGAGATATTTTGAAAAGGACTGCGACAGGGCGGAAGACGACCCCCCGGATCCAAGTGTCCACCGCGGGAACGGTCAAGTGGGGAGAAGAACCACAGGGGCGGTCATCAAACAGCAGGGCAAGGTAAATCCAAGGGCCATTCGAAAGGGGTGGAAGAAGCGTCACGCGCAGAAGAGCGGCAACAAGGCAGGCTGATTTAACTCCTGCCCCTGTATTCATCATTTGTTTTCTTGCCATTTTTACAGAAGGTGCGCACCGTAAACGCGTACGATTAATGCGTAAAGTTTCGTCCCTTTTGCTTTTTTTTTTTTTTTTTTTTTTTCACATCGTGCTCTTCACCACATCGATGGAATGCAATATTTTCGCTTAAAGGGAGTGGCAGTTCAGCGCGCATCGTTTTCTCCTTTTTTCGTTAACTTTTTTAAAACTGCGAACGGGTCCTGTAGGCATCCGACACAAAAGAATAACCCCCTGGGGGGTCCTCGAAAAGTGCAGCTGCTTTAACGAAATGGAAAAGAGGAAAATGGCTAAACATTTGGAAAAAAGAAAGAAAAAAAAAAAAAAAATTCACCTGCCATTTTAACCTTCTAAATGTGCTTTCTTCACAGGGATAGAATGTCCACATGGGTCAAAGGGGGTGGAAATTATGCCAATAGACGCATCAATGAAGAGGTCTTTCCCGCTGCGGAGAAGCATCCCATTAGGTATCTCCTTAAGTGAATACACAAGGGTTGAACTCGGCACTGCGGGAAGAAAACATCAGCACATACGTATACACATATGTGCACATGCTTGTGACCACACATATGTGTACGCCCCCCCCTCGCCGCGCAACTACGTTGTCTCCTCTCAGATCATAGCTCTTCTAATGGGCTGTCGTGCAGATGAAATGTTCCACCCTTCCCTGATGCAGCCCACGAAGAAGAAAAAAAGCGAAACGGGCAGGTGGATCCACCAGGGGGACGCCTCACAAAGTATTAAGCGTGTTAGTAAGGTGAATTAGGGATACGACACTCACCACCTGGGTTTCCATCAATCGTACTCTGCATTTTGGATATGCTTGGCAGAAGATGTTCTTCTGAAACGACTCCGCAGTGTGTCTGCATTTGATTAAATTCCTTTTGTGCCTGTTCGAGGTTACCCCGTTTTAATCTTTTTTTTTTTTTTTTTTTTTTCTGTATTTTTTATAAAATTCGTTAAGTATATTTTTTCTCTTGTTTCCAAATTTGCGAGGTGAAAAATTACACTTTTTTTTTTTTTCTTTTTTTTTTGTTCATTTAGCTTATCCTATCGAGCGTACTGATGACATTATGATGATGTGAACCGTGCATGCCCTCCGAAACTTTACTTATTTTTTTTAATCTTTTTTTTTTCTTTGCTGTGATTTTTTCACTTCCGTGTGGGATTAGTTTGAAGGAATTCTCCCTTTCACGCCGGGCACGGTAAATCCGGCTGCTTGAGTCTGCCCACGTATACCATATTGCCTCACTCGTTTATGTTTGTTCGTATGCGGCTCGTTCCCTGTCCTTATGTGAGTCTTTCGAGTCAGCAAGGGCGCAGCGGGTGGGAGCAAGTTGCGGAAAGTTGCAGCAAACCCCTGGCTGGAAGCCGCTATCAGGAGACCGCTAAGTTAAGAGCAAACCGCTAGCATCAACTTCAAAGCGCGAACCCAGCGAGTGATGCATCAGGCGAAGAAGGAGGAGGGGAACCAACGAGCCGCCGCAGAACTAGATTTTCCGGATAGTGCATCAGACGATCGCATCAGCGTAGACCAGGAAAATGTCTGGGACACGGACATAAACATTGCAGACGATGAGTTCCTTGTATTAGGGGATGGTGGGAAGGGAGAAGCGCAAGAGAATAATCCACCCGATGGAACCAGTTCAGGTTAGGAAGGATCCATTAAAGATTCTCCCCTGAAGCGGTTGCTACTGATTTGCGCATGGGCAGGACTATGCCAGGACTTGTCAACGGGAGTTTCTCATTTTTTTCATTTTTTTCATTCTTTTCCTCTTTTTCATTCTTTTCATTCCTGTACACCTTGCAGGGGATACGCTTAGGGAGGAAACCTCCAGGGTGGAACACAGTGAAGACGTAAAGGATGGACACATCGTGGGGGACGGAGAATGTCAAATTAAGGAGCCCCCGGGAGGGGATAATCAAACGGGAGGGAGTAAGCACGGGGGGGTCCTAAATTGTATCAAAGAAACGCATAACAGGGAAAATAATCAGAAGGAGCAAACCCATAATACGGGTGAGCAAGTGAACGATAAGGGCTCTACAAATGTCAACCTGCACGGTGATGAACAATTTAGGGGAAATTCAGGGAAAGAGACAATTGAGGAGGAGTCCATTTCTCCCCTTTATCATGGAGCAGACATTACTGAAGAGGGATGTCCCCCTGATGGAACAAACGATAAATGTCCGAATTATGCTGTACAAACGCGTATGGTAAAAATGGATTTATTTTTTAACCAAAAGGATGAAAATCGCCTCAACAGTGCAGGTGATGAGAATGTAAGAGGAAAGCTGCAAAAGGGAATCTCCAGATCGGATTTGTTGCCTAATGAGACAATCCCTGTGATTGTGGCGATGGAGAAAAGTGAGGAATGCCGGCAACCGTGTGAACTGCAATCCGATGTTGCCACAATGGACGGTGGACAAATACAGGGAGAAGTAGTCACCATCACGCAGCTAAAGAAGCAGTGTGAAATTTTACAAAAAAAATTACAGCAGTATGAGAGGAGGAACGAAGAACAAACAAGTGCGAAAAATGAACTGCTGGAAAAAGTGAAGACGTATGAAAGGAATTGCAACAAAGTGAACGAGGAAAACATGGAAGGGGAAGAAAGATATGAGCAAATTAAAACGTATTGTAGTCAAATTAGCAGCAAATGTGATGAGTATGAAAAGAAGTTGCAAGAGATGCACCGCGAGATGGAAAAAAATAAAAATGTCATTAAACGGAAGGAAGAAGAAATGAAGGAAAATATGACCAAGGCGGAAGCGGATCTGGCGAGGAAAGATCGCACCATAGAGGAAATGAAAAACATAATTGAACAATACAAAAGGGAGATAAACGAATCAGAACATAATCTCACGCAGAAGGAAGAAGAAAAACGGAATGATCAGCTGATGTACCAAGAAGAAATACACACATTGGAACAAAAAATTACCCATTTGGAGAATCAACTAAGTAACAAACAGGAGGAAAATACTCAGCTACGAAACAAAAACAAGGAGCTGAACGATGAATACACATACCTGAAAATGAAGGAAGAAAAGAATGAAGAAAATATCTGCAACTTAAAGTCAAACCTGCAGATGAATGAGCAAGAAAGATCGGTGAAATATGAAATGATCCAAGAACAGAACAATAAAATTGAGCAGCTACTGATGGAGAATAAAAAAAACTCGAAAGATATAGAATTGCTGAGGAATGAAAAGAGCAAAGTGGAAAATGAAAATGAACTCTTAAAGAAAGATCTGCTGTACGTACAGGAGAAATTAAAAAGCATCGAAAAACACAGCTACGATATTTACGAAATGAAAGATTATGTCGAGACGGTTATCGAAAAGAACAGAAATTTAATGGAACAATTGGAATCAGAGAAGAACCAGAAGGAAGAACTGAAAGGGAAAATAAAATTTTTCCTTACCGAAATGAATAACTCGGCAATATGCCTCAAGTCGTACAAAATGAAGTGTTCCTTCTTTGTTGACGTCCTGAGGAAGTGTGAAGCGAAGATGGGTTTGCTTCGGAAGAAGCTCAAAGGGTACGAGTCTGTGGAGAGTTTCCATGGCAGGTGGATGGTGCATCCCGCGTTGGGAGTAGCCCTGATGGAGGTAGCAACTGACCCTACAGACAAAGTGGATGACCACCCTCCAGACAAGCTGGGTGGCAACCTGCGTGACAACCGTCCGGACAACCCCCATGACTATGATAAAAATCTCATCAGACAAACCATCCTCCTCAGGGAGGAACTCCAAACGGAGATAAGAAAGGCAGAACACGTCGCAGAAAAAATGCTGAAGCTACAAAACACAGTAAAGGAGAAAAATTTACTCATAAATGAAAAAAATTACAAGCTTAATAAATATAAGCTGCTGAACAAAAATCTGATGAATGCCATCGCGGGGTACCAATCTAACATGAAGGTGATGAAGGAAAACATACATAAGTTAGAAAAACAAATCGAATTGAAGGAAATCAAAAGTATAATGGTACCACCAAAGGTGACTGTCCACGTGTCAAAGCTAGCCTCATTTGAAAATAATTTAAAAAATGAGCTCAAGGGGCTTATTGGAAATTCCTCCACCTTTTTAGAAACTACCTTTAAGTATATAAATGAAAACCCCATTAAAAAGAACCTCCAGAATAAAGCCTTCTTTTCGTCTGCAGTGGAGAAGAAACGTGACGAGGGGGAGAAAAAGGTGGGGGGAGGCACTGTTAAGGAGGCCGCCCCCCCAAGTAGTGTGTCCAACGCGGAAGGGGCAATACCGAATTCGCCTAATACGAGCATTGCAACGACCAGCCCAGGCGATGGCAGCCTCGCGGATGTCACCGGGTTTGCCAGAAATTTTATTTACACTAATATGAATCGAATCCCCAATTTTATCTCCGACCAGAATGGTAAAAGCAGTTCCGCGCAGATGGGCGCGGCAAAGACAATGGAGTTGGCCCACCCGAGCAGAGACACAGTCGTGTGGAAGAATGATGGAGACACGATAAAGGGAAATAATGCGGCGAGAAAGGATGCGGAGGGAAACCAGGCGGAAGCCAGACTCATGGAGGATAATCTCATAGAGCCGAACCAGGTGCAACTGCCCAAGCCAGACGCAGAAGCACACCGAAACAACAAATACATCGACCTGTTCATGGGAAAAAAGAACCTGAACAAAGTCAGCAACACAAGTGACATTTTGAAAGGGCAACACGTTTCGCAGTTTTATGCAAACACGGAAAATAAAATTAAAGACTTATTCGATATGAATAAAAAGAAGGAGTCTCCAAAAATAAAAGAAAAGGAGGAATCTCAGAAAAGCTTCCATTCCAGTGAAAATGCCTTTTTCCCCATGCACATCTTCGGTGGCAGCAAAGTGAAAGAAGCATTGCCAAACCCTCCAGGGGATGCAAAAAATGAAGGTGAATTAGGTTTTACCCCCACATCTGGGGAGAACGCAAATAAGTACGACCTTGCTGGGTGTAAAAAGAAGTCCCTAAATAGTTTGTACTATGATAGAAAGTCAGAAGCAGAGGGGAATACACCAGAGGAGACAAAACAAATGGACAAACGTCAGGAGAAGTTGCTGCCCAGTTCGTCTGACGAAGACGCACAAATAAACGACGACGTTTGGAATGAGAAAATCGATTTGGACAACTTCGAAGTGGAGGAATTATAAAGAAAGAAAAAAAAAGAAAAAGTTGCATTGTGGACCTCTCCCGCAGGTACGCTGAGGAACAGTGGCAGTAAAATAACAAACCAATGTGTTTATATTTCGAGTGAATCGCATCGTGCTTGCATTCCCTAGGATGTCCGCGGCTTATGTGTGTGTTGTTTGACTTGTTGGAAGGAGGAGCAGCAGTAGCAGCAGTAGCAGCAGTAGAAGAAGAAGAAGAAAGAGAAGAAGAGCGCCTCACTTCACGTATTGTCCCACCAACAGAGACTGCTCCCTTCCATTTGGATGGGGGGACATTTTTTTGTAACAGTTTTAAAAATTTAATTAACTTTGTTTTCACTTCTCTTCAGTTCACTTCATTTCGCTTCTTTTTTTTTTTTTTTGTTCATTTTGATGGAAACAAAAGCAGTATCCAATTTTGTAATTTTTTTTTTTTCTACGCAAGTTATGCGTAAAGTGGACGCGGCGTATTTTCCTGTGAAAATGTGTAAAGGTGACGCAAATAGGGCAAAATTTGGCAAAGTCGAGTAAAATAGGACAAAATAGGACAAAATAGGACAAAGTAAAATAAAGCAAAGGAAAGCAAAATAACGCAAAAGAAAGCAAAATAACGCTGAAGTTCCCTTTTCCCCTCTGCAAAAATGACATTGTTGTATTCCCCCCAAAATGGTGAGCTAAAAAAGGAAAAAAAAAAAATAAAATAAAATAACTTCACACTTTTTTGTACTGGAAAAATGTACAAAATTCTGAACAGGTGAAGTAGTAATTCTTGAAGTGTTCCAAATGGGGGAAGAAGTTAAAGCTTTATTTTGCGCAAATCCCTTTTTTGAAAGAAAAAATTGGCTACACAGCGTGGGATGGTCTCTTCATATATAGACGCGACGTATGCCTTCAAATTGCCTATTTCTTTGCGTTATTCGCATTGTTCTAGAGGGGGTGGGAAGAAAAAAAAAGCAGCTACACAGTTTGGTGTGCTACACATATTACACCTATGTATTACCTACCCGGTTAGCGATAAAAAAGAAAAATTGGGGAAAGAGACCCTGTGAAGGGTTACCCACAAGGTCTTCTCGTCTCATGCGCACCATTCTTTTTATTTATATATTTTTTCTTTGTTTTCTTTACGGGGAAGAAGACCCCATTTTTGCACAAGGGCGGTTGAGCGAGGGGAAAGACGGTCTCTTCTCGTTTCAGCGACCCGTTGGACCGGCACCCTGAGCTGACTGCCCCCACGGCGATGGACTCCTCGTGGATCCACGCCATCGGGGTATGCTTAAGCACCATCGTTTCGATTGTAGAGGCAGTTGGAAGCACACTGGTCAGGAAGAGCCACATCATTTATTCAAAATATGAGAAGAAGCTTCTCGAGGCGACAGAATGCGATAGCGTCAGCGAAGGGGAAACAAAGCTGGAAAAAAAAAGTAAAAGGAAAGGGAAAAGGAAATACTCCTTTTTAAACATTTCGATAAGGAGTCTACAAATCAGTGGACGCATTTTCTACAGAAACGGGAAGGTAAAAGAAAGCGATGACGGGGCGCACCAACTGCTTAGGAGGACTCCTTCGAGTGGTACCAGCGAGGGAAGACTCAACGATGGAGAGGCTGGAGAACGGGAGGTAGAACAGGAACGACAACAGGAAGAACAAGACAACCATCTAAGCAGCAGCCTCATGGAAAAATCGTTAAGCATAAATCTGCTACACCGAGATGGTAGCAATTCCGACCAGGGCTATTTTTCCCCATTTAATGATTCCTCAGAAGGGGAAAAAATACGCCCGCAAAAATTTGCCTACATAAAGAGAACGAATAAGCCAATAGAAGAGTGCGAACGGGAAGAAGGCGCGAAGGATAACTATCAGACGAAGTGGACCAACATTTGTGATGGCTCATCTGGAGAGTGGCAGAACGAATCATTGGACATTCATCCGAGTAGTTATCACCTCTGCGAGGAGAAGCATCCACCTAAATGGAGAAACTTTTCAGCGAGGGCCATAAATAAAAAAGTGAAAAAGAAGCAGAAGTGCTTGCGGTTAAGGAGAAGGCCAACTTGTCGTGTGATGGGGAAACCCAAACGACGTATTTTTTACACCACGCTTTGCAATGGGAGAAGAAGCAGAACATGGAAGAGGCTACTCATTCTAAATGATCACTGTAGGAAGAGCAAAACGGGGATGGAAGGGAAGAAATATTATATATGTAGGGATTTCCCACCAAGGGGATTTCCCCATTGTGGAAGGACGCCCCCCGTGGAAGGGACAGATGCGGGGCCCCATAAAAACAACATCATAATGATGAGCATTTCGCACAGAAAGGTCTCTAAGATTTTTAAAAGTGAAAGCCCCAATGGAGGGTTGCCTGGTGGGGATAAAATGTATCACTCCTCACTTGGGTCCGATCGGTTCGTGGACAGGCTGAGTGGCGACACGGCGAGTTCCGAGCACGAAGGGGGGGTGCGTGCCGAGGCTTCGCTCAGCAGAAATGGGCATCAAGATGGGCGTGAAAGTTGCGGTCAAAATGGCTGTCAAAATTGCCGTCCAAATCGCTACCAAATTGGCTGTCAAAATAGGCGTGGAAACACATTGGGGACGCTGGAGGAAAAGGAAAAATACAGCGACGAGGAAGAAATTACGAGGTGCTCCACACTCAAACTGGATCAGGAAAATGCGGGTGGCTGCCTGGACTCCACCCCGGCACATCTCCCATCAGATGTGAAACGTGCGCACTCGAATATGAAAACAGAAAGCTACATCTGCTTCTACCTAGGAATAGCCCTTACAAGCTTCATAGCCCCTGCACTGAACATATTCAGCAATGTAGTCCTACCCATGTCGATGGTTGGCTTCGTCAGCGTCCGACTCATATGCTCAGCGCTGCTGGAAAGGTTTGTCCTAAAGGAGCAGAAGTCTGTTTACTTATACGTGGGTATCCCTTTTTCCACCCTGGGCCTAACATTAATCACTGTGTGCTCTGCAAGTGATAATACCTTCGAAGACTTAGACTCCGTTTTGGGCCTCTTCTTAACAGGTGAATCGATAACGTTGCTCAGTTTCGAGATGTTCTTCGCCTTTGTGGTGGCTCTTCTTTCAGTGGGCCACCTGGGCGCAGGCACATCTTCCAGCACAGGATTGGCTGGTGAACAGAACAAGGGTGTATCCTCAGAAGGTGACCTCTTTAGCTCCAAACTGAATGCGAATATGCAGTGCGGTGATAAGCATCCAACTTGGAAGCGAAAAGGGGGGGGAAATTTTTTCTTCTTCTTCTCCCCAGTCTCATCAGGAATCATGGGATCCCTGGCAACCATTTTCTCCAGGGCGACCTTCATCGGATTGGTGTCTGTCCTAATAAACGATAAATTGAACTTAAGCCATTTTTTTCTCAATTATAAAGTAGCTCTCCTGATTATACTAACCATCATTTGCTCCATCGTAGAAATTATATACACGCCCTTTTTGCTGAAGTATTATAATCTCACGCATGTAGTGTCGCTGAAGACTTTCGGAAATATATCCTTCAATGCGGTCAACGGGATGACCATCTTCGAGGTAATTGGCGCAGGGGTGGGGGGAGGAAGGTGCCTTTCGTCAGCGTTGCTGGCCTTTTTTAGCCCTTTCTGGCCCTTCCACACCGTTTCTGTCCTTTCCTCGCTCATTAGTATGTCTCTTGTGCCCCCCCAACAGCTACCGCTTCCCCGTGTCAACAGCAGATACTTCTCTTCCCCCGCAGGAAAGACCCTCGTGTGTGTACACCTGGACGTTTGGATTCCTCCTAATCCTCGTGGGAATCATATTCCTTTCATACGAAAATGTCATCCCCAAAGCGTTACGCCTGTTCAATCAGCAGTTTCGTCACAAGACATGACAGCCTCTTTGCCGTTCGGGAGCAGCAGATGAGGAGGGGGTGGGGCACTAATGAGTAGAAATATATTCACACACGTTGGGGTGCTCCTTTTGGGTATGAGGCTTATATATGAGCCGATCGATAAGATAGTCGTGCCTTCCTCACACAGATGAGCGTCCGAGCCGATTTACTACTCACACGTCTTCTCTCCACCGGAATGACCATCCCGTTTTGTTATCTTTTTTTTTTAAGTGTAACTTTTGCAACCTCGGCCTGCTTAATGCATATGCTCACACGTGAGGTGAATTGGGTCCTGAATTTGGCTGTGAATTTTGTTACGAATGTTGGCTCGTCTATAGGGGCTCCCTTGGAGTGCCCCCTATATCTCCACCACCCGGTGAGAGCGTTTTGGCCGTGGGGAAAAGACACCATTAGGCACCAAAAAAAAGAGGAATCAAAATAAAATATAACAACTGACACAGTAAGGAGGAGGAATGAACGGTTAGCTAGACGGGCACACAAAACGGTGACGTGTGGCGGGCGTGGGCATCCAGGTTAAGTAACAAAAAATGGGACAGGTCTCGCGTCGAAGTAGGGGCGTGGCAAACGATTCAATGAACCACCCCCCTTTTGTGTTCACTCCGGGGGGGATACACCATCGTGTTGTGCCCATACTATTGTGTGCCTTCACCCCTGATTCGGTTTGGACAGCCCAATAACCGCTTCCCATCAGCGTAGAAGCTCATCTGTGCAGAAGCTGATCTCCACATCACTTGGGTAAGACCGAAATGGAGGGATGGCCCTTTAACAAAAAACGGTAGTCATACAGGGCAGCCTCCTCAGCATAGGCCACTCCTACCCGTTTGTCCCTCTGCACGACGATTTCCTCCTGCTCCCATTTCATACAGCTGAAATAGTCCAGCAAGTGGGCCTTGTACTGACTGTACACGTCCTCTATGTAGTTATGATTTTCCCTTTTCTGAGAAACCAATGCTTCGTAAAAATTTATAATTTGACTTGTGCTGGGACAGATGCTAATGAAGAATCGACTCCGTTGAAAATCGCTTATGTTGCATGTGGAGCAGTGATCCGGGCTTATGTTTTTACCTTCGCTGGCTGGGTGTGGCCCTTCTGGAAGGTGGTCACGTTCGGCAACACGATCGACAACACGCTCCTCCATACGCCCTGCAATACGCTCCGCAGCACACTCTGCAATACACTCCCTATCTGCCTGTGCCGCTACCCCGGTATCACCACGACCCTGCACGGGTGCTGCCACATGTTTAACGTCCAAAAGGAGCTTCTTCCCCTCCCTGGAATACTGCGGCCGGTCCGAAAAAAAACTGGCCTTATCGTCCTGCCTCGTAATAGCTAAGCACTTCGTTACACACCCAGGGCCACTGCAAACCTTGGCCAATTTTCTCATATTTATCGATTTTAAAATGGCCTTCACTGTGTCAATCCTTTGTAGCTTCTCTTTATCCATGCAGTAGTCGCTCTGGTGAGGAGGAGGCTGATCTGGGAAGCCAATTGGACTAATGCCACCCCCTTCCCCTTTCACCGCGCATGAAACACGACCGGGAGAGCCCCTTCCCAGCACGGACCCCCCAGAATGAATTCCATACCTGTTAAGCAACATACCGTGGGTACCATAGAACGGCTCCAGCGATCGGACCAAAATCGCGTCGGGGATATTCTCTTCATTTGTAACTATATTTAAGCAGTTGTGTATGCCATAGCAGAGGTACACATAACTGACTCCACCTTTTCCAAACATAGTTGCATTCCTGTTTGTCTTTTTATTGTTATATGCATGGGATGCTTTGTCTTCAGTTCCGTTGTATGCTTCCAGTTCGGTTATTCTGGATCCGTATAATCTTTTTCCCCCCCTATCATATACCCACAGAATGTGTCCAATCAGGGCCTCCGTAATGGACAGCACATTTTTTTGGAGGTAAAATTCTTCAGTGAAAACGGTCATTTCGTTATTTTCAAAAAAGTATTCTATTAGAAGGTACACATATGGCATACATTCCAGTTCGTTTGTGTTTCTGTTTGTACTTCTGTTTGTGTGTTTTTTTTTTTTTTTTTTTTTTTTTTTTTTTTTTTTTTTTTTTTTTTTTTTTTTTCTTCTTCTTCTTTTTCTTCTCCTTTATGTTGCTTACTCTTCCGGGGAGAAGTTCTCCTTCCAGCTGCTTCCTTTGCTGCCCCCGTCAAAGTGCCACATTGCCTGTCCAGCTTCGTCACTGCGGGGGACGCAGTGGCAGCAAGTGGCACTCTTCTTTTCCTGCACCTCTTCTCATTTTGCATTATTTCCGTGTTGTCTGTGTTCATGTGTTTGTGCTGAGGGAGACGGCATTACTTTTTCTTTTGTTTTTTTTCCTTTTTGGTTTCCCCCGCTTAACAGCCGGAAGGAAGCAGTCACAACTGAGTAAAAGGAAGCACCCCAAAGGTTGAAGAAGCGAGAAAGGGGAGGTAAGGGTCCTTCCAGGGGTATCGCGCACCAGGTGGTATCGTCGCTTCCGCGGGGCTACGATCCGTTAACCCTCCCCTGGCAGACCCGCCAGTGGCTGCGTCTGTGTATATCTCCCCCCAACATCTGCAAAGGGTTGAAAGGCTACTTATCAGGGGAGCCTTCCCTCAGTAGATCCTCTTTTGTGTGCTTAACGCAAAAATGGAGACTTGTTTTCTGTGGAAAAAGGACCCTTCAAATGAAGAGTACGCGGTTTGACTCGATTCCAATCCCGGGTCACCCCCGCGCCGCGGCAGCGTTTTGCATCACCTCCTTGCGGGAGACGCATATGTATACGTAACGCTTGTGCTGATGCGGTACCTACACGTATGAACGATTTACCCGTTTGGGCATCTCCTGATGGGTGCGCTTTACCGCTTCCCCCGTTGGCCTCTTACCATTTGCCGTCCGATCCGACCCCCATGAAGGCGTTTTCTCATGGGGAAAAAAAAAGAACAGAAAAACGTGAGCAAGTCAACCGTTGCATAGGCAATACATTTGGGAGGTTAATCTCCCATTTGGCTCCTTCCAAGGGGGATGAGGGAAAGGACTCCATAAAATGGAGACAAGGCGAAATATAGGTAGGAAGAAGAAAGAGGCGTGCCTTCCCCCCTGAACAGGTGAAGACTCAGTAGACAACTCTCTCGCACTTGAAGAAGTTGGGTAAGAGAAAAAATGTGTTTCCATTCCACCTGAGCAGAATTGCAAAGCCATATTCTTAACGCAGCACAAGTGGAGTCCACTCTGCTTATCCCCCCAATGGAGTAGCAGCAGAAAATATAAAAAGGGATGAAGAATTTTCCTTGGGGGGAGGGAAGCAATTATGAGGAATCTTCTCCCCCCCAGACCGTTGCGAAGGTTTCCATTAAAACTGAAGATAATATTAAAATAGCGCTGATGAAGCCGTATAGCTCTTTTTAAATATACTGTACCAAAGGAGAAAGAGAAAAAAAAACGCACAATGGAGGAGGGAAACAGACACGTGGACTCGAACGATAAGGAGACCTTCGAAATGCACACAGGAATGGAAAGTCAAATGAAGAAGAAAGTATTCTACATTGTGCAAGAAGTGCCCTACGCAGATTTTTACAACTTTGATTATGAGCCAATTGACAAATTTAGGGAATCAAAAGAGACTCAGTGCATCGACGGGGACACATCAGGAGCGGCATCGTCATCATCATCATGTTCTGAGCTTCCAGATGGTAGCACCGGAAAGACGGCCCGTGAAAGCCGCTTCTTCGCAGGCCATCAACAGAGGAGTAATGCAGAAGAGGAGGAACAAAAACGCAAGTGTGTAGAGTCGTACGATGGAGGAAAAAACCCCAATGGGGTGCCTCCCCCAGGTGGAGCCCCTCGAAAGAGCCAGTTGAGTGAAGAATATCCCCTCGCGAATAAGGCGGCCAGTACACAAACCCATCGGAAAAGAAGCCAAAGAATAAAAAAGAAAAATGAATTTCTGAAGCAGTGCGAATTTAACAGCGATGGAAGTTGCTACTACACCATCTCGAACAGCAACCGTTTGAGACTTTTCGCCACGGACTTGTCATTATTAAATGCGTTAAGTGGGAGCAGCGGTGAGAGTAGCGGTGACGGTAGCGGTGGAGAGGCGAAGAGAAAATTAAGGGCACTACATGAGCAGTACCAACATATGGACACTCAGGAGAAGGAGAAAATGAACAACAGCTGGATCTGCATGCAGATCGGGGAACATATTTATGACTGCAAATTTTACCCCTTCTTTGATTGGAACAATAGCAACACATGTTTCTTCGCAGCGTGTTCCAAAGGCAACCCTGTATCGCTTCACAGCGCGTACGATGGGTCGTCGCTTATGTCATTCAAAACGTTAAATCAGTGCCACGAGCTCTGTAGCTGCTATTCGTTGTGTTTCCATCCGGAGAGGAACTGGCTTCTGTGTGGAACGAATGCTAAGTCTATAGAGGTATTCGATTTGGGGAAACCGAATGAAATGTATGAGAATCGTATCCTAAGCACAAGAAGAGGAAAAGGACAAAAGGGAATCATCTCTACCATGACGTATAAGAGGAAAGGTTACGGGCAGAATATGATTTACGCCGTTGGCGATTACAATGATTGCATATACCTCTATGCAGACAACTGTGATCATAAAAATGATTTCATCCTCAAATTTGAAGTTAGTAAAAAAAACTCTAATGGAATAACCTGTATAAAATGGCTGGACGAATTTTCCCTCCTAAGTGGAAGTCGCAATGCTTCCTTTATTTACCGTTATGATATGAGAAAGGATACAGAGTATGTCCAGAAGTGGGAAAGGTTTGCCCTCACCAATCAGAAGTACCTATTTGATATGTATCGAGATATCCTCCTCATCAGTGGTGACACCTTCGGTTATTTAAATGTGTACCACCTGAATGACAACAAGCTGCTTTACAGGGAACAGATTAATAAATACTCTCCACTCATTTCTGTCCATGTCCATCCTATGTATCCTCTACTTTTAACAGGATCCGGCACGAGACGCTTTTACGAAAATAGCAGCAATGAGGTCGATATAATGACGAGTGTGTTCAGTGGGGCGATCGACACGTCGGACGATAATCTCCTGGACGGCGCGTCTTCTTCGATTCCTTTTCCTACGGTGTCGCGGTATATAAACAGTGCCTGCACAGTCTGGTGCGATTTTCCCTACTGATGTGTGTAGCTAGTGGGAAAGCCTCTTCCCTGTATTTTTTTCTCCTCACCGTTTTGAGCACCCCGCAGCCCCTACCCAAAAGGGCACGTTTAAGCGCACTTTTCCTAGTTGCCTCCCATTTCAGGGTTGAGCTTGTGTGTCCAAGTATGTATGACTGATTGGTTCTATGAGCCTACCCATTTGGGTGCCCATTTGCGTGCCCCCCTTCCAAAGGGGTAAACTAATCCGCTTCGTCACGCCGTCTGATTTTTTCCGTCTCGTCTGTTCCGTAACACTTATTCGAATGTATCACTTTTTCTTAATGCCTTCTAATTTTGTGAGCAGGGGGGCTTTCACTTTTTGCTTTGCCTTCTGATCCGATGGAGCCATCTGCGGCCCATTTCTTGTAACTGCGCTGGATGGAAAACAAGGACGGAAAAGGCACTCCGGTGGTTTCTTTCCTTAGGGGGATGCCATATCGAGGCTGTTAAATGGGCCTCAATTTTCGTTCACAGGTAGAAGAAGGTGCGTAGTGCTCTCCCCTCGTCGGGAATCTCCTGTAGACCCAGTCACTGCAATTATATTCGTTGGGGGGACCACCAGAAAGGTATTATCCTCCACCTTTAAAGGGAGTGCATCGGTGTGGAGGCGATTTTACAAGATTGCTCTGCTGTGCGATTAACACCGGGGTTTTTTTCTTCTCGGGGAGGACCCTACACGAGGGGATTCCCAACGGAACCGTCACACGATGGTAAATTTACTCTACCGTACGGCGCTCCATCGTAATTGGTCCCTTTTCGCACTAGAAAGGAGCTGCAAAAAAAAAAAAAAAAAAAAACTCCCCTTCTGGGAAATGGCTCTTCTCGATATTTATCCGTATAACGTCAGAATCTGACAAAGCCTCCACATGGTGGGAATTTTTTTTTTTACACAGTTAACGTACCATTTGTAGCTTCTCTGCCTGGTGGGCCGCAAAAAAAGATGCGTAGGGAGATCACGTCGGATCGCACAGCCGAGGTGACTGCCACTTTGTCGAGGCACTAAGGAGGATGCACCGGATTAGCTGCACACCCACAATGACTGCGTCGTAGAGGACTCGCACGACAGCGATGCCGTAGTAACGACCAAGTCAGAAATGAGAAGGTCCATTTTTTTACACACCCTGCTGTTGCTCGTTGGCATCCAGCAAATGAGAGCTCACCATGTGTACCCGCAACACGGAGGGGACATTCACATGAGGAGGCACGCACAGGGGGAGAGGAAAAGGGCGTACATAATAAATAGGAAAAGAGGGAGCGTGCAAAATGGTGGAGCGAAACGGGGGAGGTGGTCTGGCCGGATAAAATTTAGGAAGCGTGAGGACCTCCCATGTGGGAGGGAAGCTACTCACTTCTCTGCGCCAGATAAAGACAGCAGGCATGCCGTGAATGCGGCGAATGGGGTCAATGCCGCCAACACCGGAAACACCGCCGTCACCGACAACGCCGCTAACCCCATCAACGTGGCCATCTTCGGGAGCAGCGGCAGCATCGGCACGAACGCGCTGGACATCATTCGCGAGTGCAACCGGGTCCAGAAGCGCTTCAATGTGGAAGCGCTCTATGTGAACAAAAATGTGAAGAAACTGTATGAACAGGCAAGGGAGTTTTTGCCAAAGTATGTGTGCATCCACGATGAGTCCAAATATGAGGAGTTAAAATTTTTGTTAAAAAACGTAAAAGGTTACAATCCAGAGATACTACTAGGGGCTGATGGGATGAAACAAATGTGCCGGAGTAGCACACTCGACAGAGTTGTAATCGGGATAGACTCCTTCCATGGATTATACTCCACCATACATGCAATTAAGAACAATAAAATGATTGCATTAGCGAATAAGGAGTCCGTCGTATCGGCTGGATTTTTTCTCAAAAAATTATTAACAAGTCATACAAAATCATGCATCATTCCAGTGGATTCCGAACATAGTGCCATTTTTCAATGTTTGGACAATGACAAAGTGTTAAAGACGAGATGTCTGCAGGATAATTTTTCCAAAGTCAATCAAATAAAGAAGATAATTTTATCTTCCTCGGGCGGCCCCTTTCAAAATGTCTCTCTTGATGAGTTGAAAAAAGTAACTTCAGAGGATGCCCTGAAACATCCCAAGTGGAAAATGGGACCAAAAATAACCATCGACTCGGCAACGATGATGAATAAAGGGCTCGAGGTTATCGAAGCTCATTTCCTCTTCGACGTGGATTATAATAATATCGACATCGTTGTGCATAAAGAATGTATCGTCCATTCGTGTGTTGAATTTATCGACAAATCGGTCATCAGTCAAATGTATCTCCCAGATATGAGGATTCCCATCCTCTTCGGTTTGACCTGGCCTAATAGAACCGCTACAGAATTGCCGTCCCTTAATTTGGCGAGTACCTCTCCCCTCACGTTTTACTCCCCCTCACTGGATCATTTCCCATGTATCAAGCTCGCTTACCATGCGGGTAGGAAGGGCAACTTCTACCCAACGGTCCTCAACGCTGCCAACGAGGTGGCCAACAGCCTATTTTTGAAAAACAAAATTGGCTACTTCGACATTGCGGCCATCATATCGGACGTCCTGGAGTCCTTCACTCCACAGGGCGTCTCAGACAACTGCGAAGATCTGATGAACCAGATTGGGGACATTCACCAGTGGTCCATGCGCAGGGCTATGGAGGTGTACCAGGCGCGCTGTGAGGGAGCGGTTTGAGAAAGCCATTTCGATGAAGCTTCCCATAGGGACTTCCAAAGGAATTTCCACTAGATTTTTCATAATGGGGGGGTCAACTGGCAGAACCAACCAAATGGCAGAACCGACCAAATGGCAGAACCGACCAAATGGCAGAACCAACCAAATGGCATCTCGCCCTCGTGGGAAGCACAAATGAGCAGGAATATGGAAGAGGGAGGGTTCCCAAAAAAAGAGAAAAAAAAGAAAAGGAAATCCCAAGTTAGCGTTTTCCCCTTTTTGCATCAAACAATTCAGACTCTCAGATAACTTAAAAAAAAGGTGAACAAAAAAAAGAGGTCAAAGTGGTCACGAAGTCAAGTGGTGAAGAGGTCGACTGGTCAAGAGGTGAACAAGCCAACAGGTGAACAGGCCAAGAGGGGGGATAGCCACATGGGGTTTCTACACCTCCAGCACCACCCGAATGTGCGTGTGCGGCTCCCGTATGATGTCCGTTTTCCCCTTTGCTCGGATGTTTATCTTCTTGGTGTATCCACCCATGTTAGCCTGCAGCGTGTGAAAAACGGGCTTGATATTATTCCGCCCATATTTGTTAATGGCGTTAAATAGGCAGGATTTTATGCACTTGTAAATATTCACCGTATATTTGTTCGTGCCGTAGTAGTACAAAAATGCGAAGGCTTTTATTATGGGCATGTATCTGATTTTCCAAAGGATCTTCCTCGTTTTGATGAAGGACATTTTGATATATTTTGCTGTTGCTGAGACTAGCCTTTTTTTTACATAAATCACTGGATTGATTCGGTTCGTTTTAACTCTCCTTTTGTAATTTTCCACGTTATTTTTTTTTATATTTCTGTACATATTGAACAACTCGTTGTACTTGTTGTTTAGTAGGACTTTCTCGTAATTGTTGCGGACATTTTCGACGTGCTTTTCCTTCCACTTCTCCCGAACCTCCTGCCCTAGGTACCACTGCTTCAACTGTAGAGAGTCATTCTGGAACAGGTCCAGCTCAGCTTCGTACTTTCCGGCGCTCTCCCCAGTGTGGATACCTGCACGATCACCACCGCGATCATCACTACAGCCTGTGTCCTCCACTTTGTCTACCCCATCTAGCACGGGGGGGAGACCGCCCAACGGACTCGCTCCCTTTACCTTTGGAACACTATTTAGGAGCACCTCCCTTGCGCCTTTCTTCCGTTTCAATACGTGGTAGCAGTCGTCTCTTCTTTTGCTTCCCCCCCTCTGGGCCATTTCGCCACCTCCGCTTGTGGTAAAGAAGCTTTGCACAAATGGCACCTTATCACTTATCATTAGAAGAATAAACGGGATGGCTATTCTGGTTAGGTAGCCCATCGTTATTCTCCACAAAGGGTTGGCTGCCGGAGTGATAACTCCGGGGGGGATTTCTCTGAGAGCAATCTCTTCGGCGCGTTTTTGTTTTCTCTTATGTCAACCACGTTCACAGGAGCGCAAATCGGCGTACACGCCCACGTAGGCACTTTCTCACATGTGGAGAAAATTCCCTCGTTGCATATCTGGCTGAACGTGTGTCCTCCTTCGGGAAATGTTCTATCCAACGCTGCATGGGGGTAAAACCCTTCTCTTCCCACTTCATTGTGCGCAGTCCACTGGAACTTTATTTCTGCCCTGCTCGCTTGGAGAATTCTCCGGCAAGTGCATTTTGCACAGAATGGTCAGCGTGATTAAAGTTGGTCCACAGGGATGCCAACAGGGATGCCAACAAGGATGCCCAAAAGGATGCGTATTTTCAAGAAAAACTGGAAAATTCTTTCTTTTCTTTGCCTTGGTAAATTGGGCCAGCTTGTGAGTATTACTTAACCTGTACGCACGTGCAGGAATTTTTTCTCTTTCGTTTCGCTTCCACTTCGCGCTCCCCTGTGCTTTTTTTTATCTGCCCTTTGGCCGGCAAGATACATGCGGTGGCACTTTCTCCCTTCTTCGTTTTAACAAAACGATCTTTGCCGCCACGAAGCGTACGTCCCTTTTGGCGCCATTTCGATGGGTAAAGAGAAAGGATAGGGCAAACGCGATTGACGAACCATGAGTGACGAACGCTGAGCCATGAATGCCCAATGGTGACCCAACCAGCAGGACGTACGCGGATGTCGCGCCGCCGATCCGAGTTAACGCAGCAAAGAAAAGCCGCACGAGCAGAAGTTGAAAAGGGCGAATGAGCCGCCAGATTGGGGTTTCACCAGGGGAGAGGAAAGAGCCAAAGTTGAATAACCCCGGGTGAGACATGCCCAGAGGGGCCCAAACGAGGGGGAGATAAACGTGCTATGTGAACCCTCAGTCTGCATGCACTCGGGAGTACAACCTCCCTGTGTGCTGGCAGTTCCTCCCCATTTGACACAACGGAATAGGAACGGAGCTAAACTGCTTAACGGGGTAACAGCCCACCATGCCGCGCGCCGAGCCGGGGACGCCAAAATGGCTGGCGAACAAGATGAAGGCCAAAGGCCTCCAGAAGTTAAAGTGGTACTGCCAAATGTGCGAAAAGCAGTGCAGAGATGAAAACGGATTCAAGTGCCACAGACTGTCGGAAACGCACCAGAGACAAATGCAGATCTTCTGCCAGGACGCAAATAAATTCATGGACGACTACTCCTCCATGTTTGAGAAAGAATTTATGAGATTAATGAAAACGAAATATTGTCGAACGCGTATTTTGGCTAACACTGTCTATACGAATATGATTAGCGATAAGACACATATACATATGAATGCCACCGTGTGGGTGACTCTTACCGATTTTGTATTGTACCTTGGGAAGACAGGGAAATGCAAAATTGAAGAAACGGAAAGGGGGTGGTATTTAGAATATATCGATAGAGAAAAAATCGAAAGAGAAAAAGCTTTTGAGGAAAGGAAAAAAATCGAATACTCCTATGAAGAATTGAAAGAGAAAAAAATTAATCAAGCTATTGAAGAGGCTAAGAAAACGGGCAAATTTATCCAATCGGAATATACAGGATTGAACAAGAAAACTGATGAGAAAATCGTCATATCGTCTATTAAAACTACGCGAAGGGATCATACTCCTTCTAAACCCAGTGTTAATGTGCTCATAGCGAAAGCACTGAGCAAGGCGGAAGAAGGAAAAGGGAAGGTGGCAGACGCTTCGCCAGATAAGCGGTGCGCGGTAGAAAATGATGTAGCCAAGGGCGCGGCAAAGAAGAGACCCCTGTCATCCATCGAACTTCTCCTTCTGGAAAACGAGGCAAAAAAAAGGTTAACAAACAGCGCTGCTAATCTGAAAAATCAGCAAAATAGCCAGAACGAAATCGAAGCGAAGCAACATGAAAAAGACGACAAAACGAATCCCCCGAGTAGTAAGTACTCCTGGTTATGCAAAAATATCGTAGTTAAAATAATCGACAGGAAACACAAACATTGTAACAACAAGGGGGTGATCACTTCGGTATCGTCTGACGAAAGCAATAAATGTGAAATCCAGCTCAACAACAGCGAAAAAAAAAAAACTTCCGCTCATCAGAAGCAGCTCCAAACGGTTATACCAAAAATCGGGCGGGACGTTTTGATCCTGAGGGGGCAATACAGGGGCCTTCGCGGGGAGATCAAGCAGGTACTTCCCATACACACATGCATAATATATACTCTTGCGTTTTACCTGTTTAGACACCCTTCCGATCTGTTAATCGACCATTTACACGACACCTCTGCCTGTTTTGCCCCTCTTCGCAGATTTTACCCGATGAGGAATCCGCCCTGGTTGCAATTTTTGATAAGCATTTAGGTACTCCTTGGGAGCTGAGCGGTGTTGTGGCAATCGAAAGTGAAAAAATGAGAATAAAAAGATGCTCCCGCGCCTGCTCCCATTTTCACCTGAACCATTCCTGTGAAAAAATAAAAAAAAAAACGAGTGCCCATTTTTTGTCTCCTCTTCGCCCCTTTACCGTACCTGCAGGCAAAGTCATCACAGAGGAGCGCTTGCTATTCGATGACATAAGCAAATTACACGACAGGTAATTTTTCTTTTTTTTTGTATGGGAACGTTCATATCTTTTTCGCAATTTGTAGGAGCCACATCGATGTGGCGGTGGCGTATGTGGCAGAAGCATATGTGGAAGCCGCGTCTCTAGTTCGTAGTCCGTTGTCTGTAGTACTGTTTTGTGTACCAATTTTTAACGCCTCCTAACGTGGACGCTTTGCTTTCCGTCCTGGATGCACTTTTTCCCATACACATCGATTTGTTTATAAAACATTATTGGAACTGCGCAAAAAAGTTACCTTTTTTTTTGGCTAGCTGGTGTACTTTTTTTTTTTGTAATTCACTCCCTCCATTTTGACTAATTCATCTGCTTCTCAATCGTTCGCACGCAAGTGAGAAGTCTTCTTTTGTGAGCGACTGCGCAGATTACTGAGCAGCATCCGGTTGTGTCAAAGTGGGACACACTATGTTGGGAAGAAAGGATGGACTCCGCCTGCTAATATATACCTCCACGCAGGCAGAGTGTCCAATTTGACATTTACGGAAAAAAAAAAAATTAAAAGGTTAAAAAAAAATTTCAAAATACAAAAAAATCAGTTGTTCAAAATGAAAGCGAGCGTTCATCAGACACACGAGGTGTGAAGGTAAAAATTTTTAACAAATTGGAAGGAGGTAAAAAATATAACTTTCTGTAGGTGCAAAATATAGTGGCAGATGGGTTAAGCGTCAGATGGCCTTTCCCCAGTCCCCACCACTACTTGCGCAAATTGATACTCGTGTTGTAGCGGAAAATTTTCGCCTTCTCCAACTTCTTCGATGGCGTTTCAAAATTTTGCGAACTGGTCAGTGCAATGTTATTTATGGGTGGCTTCTTACTTTTGTCCTTCACAGAAATGGAGTATTGTTTATTTCGCAACGTTCCGCTTTTCACTTCAGCCTTCTGCGGTTCGGCTGTTTTTCCATTTTCCGTCAACATGGAAGCATCGGCTAGCTGGCAACTTTTTAAAATAATTTCCTTCTGTTTCTCAGGTGCGTTGTTACAAAGCCATGTGACCAAACATTGGAATATTTTTTTCGTGTCTGTGAAATTGACCCTATGTGGTGGTTTGGTAAATGCTATTTGTGCACATACCATTAGCACCTTCTGGAACTGTCTTCCCTGGATGTATGCATTTCCTTTGCTTTCATTTAGGAAGATTTTTTCCAACTCACCTTTTGTTAATAAACTTTTTATAATTTTGTAATGTCTGGAGAAAATTAAGAACAGCTCAAGATCCATACCTTTCGAGTAATAATTCCCCTCGCTTGTTTTTCCTTCCAGTTCTATATTCCCTTTGGCGTTTCCTTTATCCTTTGCGTAAAAGTGGAACAACGCTTCGAAAACGTTTTTGCTGCTTGGGATTACTCCCGTGTGGAGGTGTTCATTGGGGGTGGCGAGGCTCTTATTCTGCAGCGCCGCGGCGTGGCACTCCCTTTTCACCTCCGCCCCGTTGCTTGGGGGAACCCACCCTCGCCTCGCACTCTCCGCGCAGCCCAATTCTTTCAACTGACTCTCCACTTCCATGTCGTTGAAAGAACTGGTGTCCATTTTGCCGGGGATCGATTCGTCGGAACGTCTGTTCCCATCTCGCCTCTTCATCTTCTTCGTCTTCTTCACGTGCACCGATTTGGTGCTGTCAAGTCGGTCATTTTCGCTACCCCAGGGTGTCTGCTTAGAACCGTCGTTGTTACTTTTACTCAATTTCTTTCCCAAGCGAGTATTTTCATTTCCACTTCTCCTATTTGTGCCTTTCTTATGCGTAGTAGCGCTACTGGCACTTCCTTCGTCTGCCTGACCCCAAGTGAAAGAATCGAAGCGGCCAAAATTTCGAATTATTTCTTCCTTGTCTTCCTCGGAAGTACTGCGAGATATGTGCGATCCACAATCTGATGGGAAGTTCTCCACGTGTATATTTTGCTGAATTTTTTTTTTTTTTTTAAATATTTCAATTTTAATTTGTGAAAGGATATTATCTCCTTAACACATTTTCTTTCGTATATTTCCACGTTCTCTTCCTTTAGCATATTTACATAATTTTTAATTCCATTTTCGATGTAGGACAGTAAGTCAAAGCTTTTCCTATTTTCCCCGTAGCTGGCGGTTTCGCCCGTGTAGCTTCCCTCTTGAGCCTCCTCGTTTTCAGATGTGGGGCTCGATATGTCGTGAAAGGAGTTCGCCACACATACTTTGCTTTCGTAGGTTTCTAACATTGCAAGGGAGCAGGTGAGGAGAAGGGGGGGAGGGAAAAAAAAAGAGTGTATATATTTTTTTTTCCAGACGCGGGGAAGTTCCACTTGGGTGCGTGCCTCTGCAAGAGCCACCACTCAACGGACGAGATTCCTACTCAGCTGCGCGCACATCCTCATTCACTGTTCAGCATTTAACGCACAGTGGAGTTCCTCTTATACCTAGATGCTTCACACCGTTGGAATGGCATATTTTGTGTAAGGAGCCTCCTCTTGACGTTGCCCCCCCGTTCGAGTCGCTCTCCTCCTTGCTAATAATCCTTGCGATTGAGTAAGTTGCGTACTCCACTCTTTCTTGAACCTCGCCCTCGGGTGGTACCCTCTCGCCCGTTGCTGCGACAAGAAGTTCTTCGTTTTTTTCAGTGGGTTTTTCTTTCGCCTGCTCGGATTCGTTATCCGCCTCGATGGTTTTGTCCCTCTCCGCCTCGGCTGCTTTGCCCTCCGTCCAGGCCTCTTTCCCTTTCTCTTTAGCTTTCCCCCTTCTGCTCCTTTTGGACTCCCCCTTCGTGGGCACCTCTTTTTTTTTCTTATTTTTCTTTTTCCGCTCTTCCCCTTTTTTCTGGCTATCCCTTAAGCTATGCATGGTCTCCATTTCGAGGAGTGCTCCCTCTGCACATTGTCCCGCGCCATTTAGCTCGCCTTCAGAAATGTCCCTATTTTCCTTTTCTTCTTTGTGACATTTTTCTCCTTCACTTTGTGATTCCTTCTCCTTTTTTTGACCATCCTGATTCTCTGCTTCGTCCAGTTGTGTATCGCCCCGGTTGCGTTTTACCTGCACCAGTTCATGTGTATCATTGCCACAACTGGCACTGCTACTATGGAGTCCACGGTCTTCTCTTCCCCCTTTGGTTTCCTTCCGGGGGGATTTGATTTCCGCACTCTCTTTATTCCCTCTGCGGGTTTCACTTTCGGTACCCTCTCCAAGGTGTTCCTCACGTATAATGTATCCTCCTGTCCCTGGAGTTCCATCTTCAACGTTATTCTCCCCATTTGTTGGGGCATCTTTTTCATCTTCTGTTTCCTTATTCACTTTGCTTATGTCTACTTCGTGCTGTGGCTCCATTTTCTTTTCTGTTACCTCCTGCGCTTTTGACATTTGTCTTTCTTCTTCAGCTTCCCCATCAGCCTCTTCCCCGTCACCTTCCCCTTTCTTCTTTTTCTTTTTCTTCTTTTTCTTCTTTTTTTTTTCAAAACTCTGATTTGTGTGGGGATCCTCACTGGGGACCTCTATTCGTGTCGTTAGGTCAGCTGTCTCATCCCCGTCAACGACTTGTTCGTTCTGTTCCTTCGGACATCGGTTCTCTTCGCCTTCGTTGGCTCGAATGTTGTGTGTGCCATTGGGGCTACTTTCACTGTTTTGGATATTTTGGCTATTGGGGGTAGTTTGGAAATTTTCTTTTTTCTCTCTTTTTTCTTTTTTTTCTTTTTTCTCCCTTTTCTTTTCCCGCCTTTTTGTCGCCTCCTCCACAGGGGATTCATCTGGGGGGCACTGCTTAACCCCCCCATCATCCTTTACATCGCCAGTTTTTTTTTTTTTCTTTTTCCCATTCGAGCTAGCCATATGTTCCCCCGAATTATCTAGCAATGAAGGACTCATTTTACCTTAACCGGTCTGGCAAAAATATGAATTTTTTTTTTTAATTTTTTCATAAATGGTGAGCATTACCTCCAGGTGAAGAAGCAGTGTTTGTCTTTCCTACACTCTTTCTAATTAAGTTTGCAAAGCGGGTATATTTTTCGTACATAAAGAAAATCGGATAAACTTCACTGATACACCATGTGGCGTCGTCTTTTCCCAGAATCAGCAAAATGTGCTGAGGAAAGGAAACGTTCGGTGTTTCACATGAGGGAGGGTAAGAAATCATCATCAGTGGGGGATATCAAGTTATGTCCACAAATCGCGAAGGGCATGATTAGTACTCGTCCAAACATAGACATCTGTACATTCGCCAAATTGCATATGTACTGACTTGGATGGTACTGTTTCCACTGCGCCCTTTCTACATAAACACTTGTTAATAAAATGCGTGCGAATGTGCAGAGTCCCTCCGCTTCTTTCACTTTCACCCATGAGCAGATAAGGCGTGAAATTAATTCCTTCCAGCACAGCAGACTGCCGGACGCTCATAAGAAATCCGTGACTCGTTCCATTTTTCTCAATTTCGTCACAAATTAATGCGTTTTATATTGCGTAATGCTTCACATCCTTGCGGCTACTTTTAATCCTCTGCGTTGAGCATCCATATCCCTGCGCAATTTTCGTAAACACATCTCTTTGTCCAATTTAAAAAAAAAAAAAAAAAAAAAAACAGGCAAACAGTAAAACGCCGGAAAGGCGAGATTCTACATACATTTAAGAACATACATCCATGTAGAAATGGAAGAGACGGAGCTTTTCTACACACCTCTGGAGCTGTTGTGGGTACTTTTGCTTAACACTTCGCTTAGGGTAAATATATATATTTATGTATATATTTTTTTCTCTTTTACCATCATCGACGAGTGAGAGATTTTCCGGTTGACGCGTGAATTATTTTCCCCCTCAGACGAGACGCAGATTTAAATAAGGCCAATTCGAAAAAGAATATGTTCCACTGTTCATGCGCACGTGGGAATATGCAAATAAACGAGTCGGAAGAAAGTTCTTCTTTGTTCGGGATGGAAAAAGGGGGATAAACAAATGCGTTTCTTATTCGTCCTATTCGTTCCTATTCGTCCGTATCCATCTCGTACCCACTTATTCCTTGCCTTTTTTTTTTCTTTCTCGTACCACAGCCAATCCTTCCCCAGAAAATGTCCCAACTAAGATGCCACTAACTGGTAAGTGAACTACTCCATCTTCATGAATTATGTGCATTGTGTTTATTTCAATATAGGGAGTTGCATAAAAGGTGCACCATTTTGTGTTCCCCCTTTCACGTTTCCGGGTGTTGGTGAACTCACTTGAGGAAAACACCACACTTGTGTAGAATCCGAAACGTATTTTAAGTCGCTTTAAAACTTCTCCCCCCGCGAAACGGAGAAGAAAAACGGCAAAGGTACGAAAAATAAAAACTACAAAGGGAGCAACCCACGTTTAATGCAAATCGAGTGAAAAAAAAGGTGTTAAGGAAGGCGGTTGAAGTAGCATAATTTTTGAGGGCAATCAGAATTCATTTCCTTTCCCGACATAAAGAAGAGAGAGGCACAGAGGTAAAGAAGTAAAACACGTATTTCGAATCAGCCAGGTTTTTTTTTTTTTTTTTTTTTTCTTCCTTTTTTGTTCCACCTTTTCAATCGAACAAATGAGTAAGGGGATAGATTCGATGAAACCCTACTTCCCTGCGGTGTTAAAAGGTAAATATTTGTGGCCCCCCCTAAAAGTGAGAAATGTATGCACTGGTTGCGCAGCATTGTATTAGTGGGATGCCGCTTTTTTTCTTTTTCCCTTTTCGTTCTTCCTTTTTTATCGTTCCTTTTTTTCTGTTCCTTTTTCCGTTTTTCTTTTTTCTTTCCATCCGGATGCGTCTTTAGAAAATCAGACCAGTCTCTCGCAGACACCGTTAAAATGGTTGAGCCCACATGTGCGTATGCCTCTACATAGACTCACCTAATTACTTACTACCCACGTTCCGGGAGCAGGGTGCGAATCCGCGTCAGATAAATTTTTCAAGTGCCTGAACGAAAATTTGGAACCCCACGGAAATGAGCAGGCCGCCAGCGACGGCATAAATAAGTGCCAACCGTTAAAAATAGTAAGGCATTTTTTCCTCTTAAAAACATGGCATGAAGATATGAGCTCCAGCTTGATGGACAGACTGGGATGATCACTAAAATGTGAAGCCCAGTTTTTATCTTGACCAGTGATTCTGCCATTTGGCCGCAAAAAAAAAAAAAAAATTTTTTTTAAAAAAAAAAGGTGAAACTTATTTTTTCGTCTTCCTTCACTCCTTTGCAGAATTACGAGAAGTGTATGGAGGAGAAGCTAAAAACGGTGAATAAAAATTCCCTCACGTTTTTGACATCCTACAAGGGGAGTAATGAATAGGGGGGTGAAGGTAGGGTCGCAGTACGAGGGGGGAAAATACCAGACCGAGTTTATTATGTCCTGTTTTGCTTTATATCCACCCGATGATCACGAAACGGAAATTCCGGGCAACTTCAGGTCAGTATAGCTCTTACAGGGCCATTTGCATATTCACCCCATCCAATATGTGCCCCCATTTTGAAAAGTTATAAAAAAAGTGTGTGCAACGGGGACGTAAGTGGCCGCACGAATTTGAGGCGTTCACAAAGAAATATACTTATTTCGAGTATGCCGCGAGTTAACCACACATGGGTGTAGGTATGTATGTGCACAGAGCGGCATACCGTTCATTCGTGAGCACGCAACTTTAGGTTGTCGGGAGAATTAGTACCTTTTCCTCTGCGTGAGAAAAAAGAAATTCACGTTTTCCAAAATGGAGGGCCATACACCTATACATCCCCTTTCACGTGAATAAAAAATTACAATTTTGAGAATAGCTCGATTTTTAATTTTTTCTGTTTTCTCCTACACAACGGTTTTTTGTTCGTTAAGAGGGAAGTGAACAAAAATAGCAAACATACGTCAAAAAATGGGTGAAAAAATAAGTTGGTAACTTCGAAGCAAATTTTGCTTCAAAGGGTCAAGTGTTTTTTTCGGCTTCTTCCATTTTTTCCGTTTTTTCTTTTTTTTTTTTTCTCAGCCTGCTAATGTAACTTTTTTTTTTCTTTTTCGCTTGCCCCTTTTTTACGTGACATGCGAACAGTTTTTTTTTTTTCTACATTTAACATTTTCACCGAAGGAATGGAAACCTCCCATGTTGACATTGTCAGAATTGTGCTCTTAAACGTCCAGCTGTTAGCGCTTGGGCGAATCGGCTAACCAGAGCATATACTAACGAGCAATCATTTAGCCATTTTTACCCTGCGCGTGTGTTTGTTCCGTGGAACAGAGGAAAGATGAGTGTGGTAAGTTTGCAGTGTATTGGAACAAATTTGAAATTTTGCGATATAGGGGGGATGCGTAAAATTGAATGCCTGAATGGACGTACACAGTCGCGCCAGATAGAATGTATGCCATTCGCTTTTTGTTGATACCTTTTCAAGAAGGGACAGCGTACCCTGCATCGGCTGGCAACAAGAAGAGAATGGCATACGTTCGATCTGGCGCGACTGTGTACGTCCATCTTCAAGTCGGCGACATCGCCCCATATGCTATAAGACTTATGCTCACATTCCTCTTTTCCCTTCTTTTTTCTTTCCTTTTCCTTTCCCTTTCTTTTTTCTCTCCGAAGAACACTTTGGCAGCGCGCAAACATTACAACGATTACAAAATGTGCATGCAGGCGAACAAGCGCAGCAGCAACGCGAAGGAAAAGTGCGCCAGCCACCTGGACAAGGCGATAGACACGACAACGCAAATGTGAGGAGCGAACAAAAATAAACAAACAAAAATAAAGAAGCAGAAATAGATAAATGAATAAAAAAACAAACCAAACGGACGGATGTGCAGCAGCACATTCTACGCCATCTTTGCATGCCCCCTCATCAAACAAGGAAACAAACAACCCTTATTTCCCCCTCTTTACAGGATCTCTCGGGAATGCCTACCGAACACGGAAGAGCTGTACAAATGCTTTAAGCATTCATTTCGCCTGAGCTTCTGCGATAAGGGTGTTATTGAAAGGTTAAAAAATTGCCAATCGGATGTTTACAAGATGATAACGTCATGAAAGGGGGGCCCCGTTCTACACACCTGTGGGAGCGTCTCCATTCTGAGCAACGCAACGCTAACCCTACGCCGATTTCCCCCCCTACCATGTTATTACGTCATTACGTTATTACGTTGTTTTATTTTATTTTATTTTTTTAACCTTTTACTTGGTTTCATGAGAAAAAAGGAAAGAAGGCACTTTTATAATTTACCCCTACCAGGGCGGGAGATGCGCAGAGCGTACAATCAAACTCCGTGGCATTGAAAAAGAGGGAAACGAAAATCTACCAGTAGCCCTATCTTAACTGCGGAGCGTTCGACCCGAATTGAAAAAGTTAAATGCATCTGAGTAGGCCTGTAAGTGTGCACATAAGCAGATGATGATGTCTGCATATTCGCTCCCCTTTCGAAATGGTCCGTGAAAATAAAGTGGCAAATGTGTTAAGGTGAAACGACCTCCCAAAAAAAAAGAGGCATCACACATACTTTGAGCGGTGTGCTTCTCTTTGTCGCGATTTGTGGCGTAGTCCCTTTGCAAAACATATTAAATGTTCACGTGGCAATGAATATCCTCTTGGGAAAGGGGGCCCTCTACAGTTTGCATAAAAAAGGGTCCTTTGAATTTACGCCCACTGTGCTTCAGTGGTTTGGTGGGCAGAGCGAATGGCAGAAATTGGGCCAAGTGTTTGGCAAAAATGGTGGCAGAAAAGAAGAAAAAAAAATTCGAACCGCTGACAGTTGTTCCGTTAGGGCGTCAAAATAAATGCCGCAAAGACGGTCGCATTGAATTCCTTTCCTCTTTTGCAATTTTGGAAGGGGGCGTTGCCCAATTTAAAGTTATCTTTGCCATTTTTGCAATCGAATGGGGAGGAAAGACAAGGGAGAGCTAGCATTTTTTTTTTCTTGTTTTCTGTTCTTTTTTTCTTTATCCTTTTGCCCGTTTGCATAACCCCATGTGATGTGTTCTTGCCCGGTGTGGGTGTATGCACATCTGGGACTCCCCTGATTTCGTCGCATATTGTGTTACTCATCTTTGGCGCTTCCTATATTTCTTCCTTTTCTCCCCTTGCGTAAAGATGTGTACATATAATATGCAGAGTGGCATTATTCCACTAAGCAAACAGAAAGAACACAATATGTAATCAGGATAATTATATTCCCCCCCGCTTCCGCTGCTGATTCATTCATGTGATGAACTCATACGTTGATGTGCATGTACATATGCATAGAGAAAAACATTTTATCAGAAAGTTTTACAGAATTCGGCTTTCAAAAATGTATTACACCCCCAGGAATGGGGGGGGGCATCGAAACTTTTTTTTTCTCTTTTTATATTTTCACATTTGGTTGAAAATATTTTCTTTTCTTTGCTTTTTTTTACCTTTTTTTATCTTTTTTTTTTTTGCCGCATCACCACATTTTCACTGTTACTGAGAAAAAGAAAATTGGCACAAGCGTACGCAGGGCAGTGTCGTGAGGAACAATGCCATATTGTGCTTATTTCAATTAATCATATCTGTTTCTTTTTTCTT